TTTGTCCCAGGGTCCCCCAACTGATAAGATCTTTGCTTTTAGATGTTTTATTACAGAGAGTGTTTGAAACCTTTGACTAAAAATAGTCCTACATTCTGTCATTGTGTTACTTATGGATAGAATAATAGTGAAAATAAATTATTCCACTTTTTGTTGGGGAACCCCAGGAACCCCCAGAAGGGGTTTTCCAGACCCCACTTTGAGAACCACTGTTTTAAAGGACCAGTGTTTTTGCACATTGAGGCCTGTTTACCGTCATTTACATATACTCTACAAAACTACTGCCCACTTTCTAAAGCATGTTTTGTATTTTCTTTGGATTCTGAATGTGATATTACAATTTTCCAGTCATTACTTTTCATTCATGACACGATGGTATGAAAATCTATTTGCAGTGGCTTCAAACTGGTAAGAAATCTTGCTGAAGTAACAAATGGGGCAAACAAAAACACAGATGTGGTTCTTAAATTTAAGTATAAAAACTTGGCATTAGCGACTGATCATACCACACCAAGAAAGGCTGTAGCTGAACTGAGCAATGTGTGTATTATTGCTTATGAATTGTACTTGTACTATTTCTTCTTTCAACTATAGCCTTGCTTTAGGTTAAGCAATGGCATGAATAACTCAAAGCAAAAATAACTACAGTAACCACAGTATCTTAGCTGTCATGTAAAGCCTGTAGATGACAGATAATTGGTGACTACTTCTGAAGACTATACTTTTCTGACAAATGATCTTTATAGGACAAAACTATACTGGTGTCTTATTCCTCGACTATCTTGAAAACCATCCCACACACCTTCTCCATCATTTCCAGTTCATTCTGTAGTCGTACATACGGTAATTAGAATGGAAGACAAAGTTATTTCAGGCTGCAGACTCAACTAACAGCATAACTCTGAAATGCCAAGAGACACACAGAGAAAGAGGCTGGTGCCTTTGCGCTAAAGCAGAGGACCTCGCTGACCCATAATCACAGAGGTTGATGTATGCAGTTATACTGTATATTTAGCTTCGTCTTCTCATTGTCCTGATGGCTGGTCACTTGTGGCCAAACCAAACCCATGCCATGGTAGCATCAAGTTTGGAGAACACTACTAAAAAACAGTGATGATGCATGCTTAGATACCGTATATACAACCTACAACCCGAAACTACAACCACCTGACTAACAAACAACCACCAACACGAAGAGAACATTCGCTTAAAAAATGTTCTAACATTGTCTCCATTTATCTAACATCACTTTGCTACTGATTTGTATAATATATACGGAACAAAATATGATCTCAGTCTGAAAAGACACATCAAACACTGAGTGCAGTAGAGGCCTACCCTCCATATGACAACACGTGCCGTAAAGATGATGACAGGGTCTTACCTTTCTCTTTCAGCTGCAAGAAGCCAGTGGTGGCTGCCACTTTGCTTGGAGAGAAAGTGAAGAGAGTGAAGTCCTGCCTTGGCGGTGACAGTCCTCCCTCTGGTTGGCAGAGGGAGTGGTGGGAGTGTCAGGGCAGCCTTTTACAAATCATGGTTATAGCTTCACCACAGAATATGACACTACAGAGACTGATGTGGATCCAGCGTGGATTTACACACACAAACACTCATATGGGATGTGTGGACTGACCACAGTGTGAACTTGCATTAGTGTTTGGGTGTATTTATATACTGTATATTAAATCACTGCTAAAATCTGCCATTCACTATTAAACATGAAATGAAAACACACAGACAACAGTTTCATAAGATTTCCAATCACTCAGTAACAGGCGAGGTTAGAGTACTAGGATTACGACTTAAGGGTTGTCAACTTACTTACTTCTGATGAATCCAGTTCAACTGATCCAATAACATGCTCTTATTTTGAAATTAGGGCCTCTTGTGAAAAGTTGTAACCACGATCTGTAGTCATACCATAAACCATAGCGGCGCTGTGTTCAGCACGTTCTTACTGCAGCTATACAGGAGTTTCATTAAACTACAGCTCTGTGAGATGCAAGAGATGAAACAGCAGGTGTAATGAAGTGATGATTTAGCCGTTGCTGACTCACAGGTGATTAAAATTTACTGTATTACTATTTCTTTTACTTTAACATTTTATTGTGAAAATACAAAGCAGGAAATTTTTCAATTACAGCCTGATCTTTCAGGTGAATTGTAATGAATTTTTGGTCCATGCCACACTGTCCTGTTAAAGTATATTTAATACTAGGGCACCAAATTAGGATTAATAAAGAGCTGTGAATGGTCTCCAAAAAACACAGTTTTCCTTTGTTTGTTTGCTAAAACAGCATGTGTAGAGTTGAACTGCATTTTATTAATGCATGTTTCTCATAAGTTTCTGTCATGTAAAGTAAAGTAATCTAAGTAGAAGTTTACCCACACTGCCAGAGGTTTTACACACAAAAGACAAAGTTTAAAGTATCTCGTGTGTCTTTTGTCTTTTCTCCACATTTTGGATTTGAGTGAACTTTATTTCTTCTATGACACCAGTGTTTTTTTCCGGGTCGGAAATGAACATGTTATTTTGATGTGTAGTCTTGCTAGATTCAAAGGGCCTTCTTTGGTTATTGTTCCTTCAAGGATCAATTCTGTGACAAGAGGGAAACTATAGAATATCAGCTTTATCCTTTAAATAATCCTGTCACAAAATGTCTCATGGTTTATAACAGGCTTGTGTCGACACCACTGAAACAAAGGATGGAGATAAACAAAAACCAACACTCTCTTAATAACTATTGTGTAGCAGCTGTAAGTGACTGAACATGTTGTACTGGGATTCTCCAACTGTGAATATGTGAAAACGTGTGACTATGAAGCAATGTGTTTCTGGGCAAGAGCATAAAACTAAAACAACCTGCTTGAATAACAACACTTTAAAAGACATGTAACATTGATATGGCATCTTGGCACACTGAGACCCTGCAGCTGCTGTTCATTCAAGGACAAGGAACTCTGAACTGTGTTGCCCCCTGTTGGAGCTGCACAGTGAGGTTGTTCTCAGAGACCCTTTTGATCAGGGTTGCTACTCCCTCAGTGCAAGTTAAAAGCTTTGCTGTTGCCAGAGCTTTCTGAGCACAGGAAGTAAACAACTGACAAAAAAAAACAAAAAAAAAAAACAGGAAAAACATAGCACTAGAAAAATGAATATGTGCCTTTACATGTTCTCCAACCAGACCACAAGAGGCTGGACAACACAGAGGACTATGACAAGCTCCAAGTCTGTTTACTGCAGAGGAGGGAAGCAACAGTACAATTCAGTCTATGATGCATGACACTTTTCTTTTCCCCTTTACATGCATCTGAAATACTTTCACTGTTCTACTGAATACACTTGATGTATGTATCTATTTTAAGAGAGCAGGGACGGAAGAAACTTCTGGGATTAAATTGGGTCAACATATTAAATACAAAAAAAAAAAAATCTCACTGAAGGCCAAGAGGTGAGTCTGAAAAGTCTCAAAAATACTGGACTATACTTTATGAAAACAGGAAACAGAATGTGGTGATTATGAAAAACACTGGAAGTAGAAACACTGGAAGGAAAGGTTAAAACTTATAGTGTTTAAAGGTCTGCCTCCAGTACATCTCTTTTATCAACTACTATTGGGAGTTACAGCTTTAGACAGAATCATTAAAATGCTGTTGTGTTTGAAATTGACTATTTCACACAGGATAAGTTCACTGGGATTCTCTCTGGTTGTCTTGTTCTGTCTCCAAATATCTGACGTCCTGACCTCATGCTTCTTGGCGAACGGCAGGAAATCCAGTCAGAGAAAATGGAGGCAGTTTTTTTTTGGCTGTTCAGATCAGTCCAGACACTTGAGAAGCTGCTTTTATTGACTAACACATCCTCAAACTCAGAGGAAGTCTGTAAAGCCTCCATATGTACCCACTGTTTCTTTTATTTGTAATTGTAACTTCTTTTCTCTAGAGGGCAGTATTGCCTCAATGACAGTCAGTGAAACACCATCACCATTTACTTAAATCATGTCAGTCTCATCATAGATGTATGAATCTCAGCCATTATCTTCCTCAAAACCCAGGTGCTATATAAGAGGTGGAAAGAAACTACGTATATTTACTGAAGTACTGCACTCAAGTACTGGTTTGAGGTACTTTACTTGCGAGAAATATTGTGTCATTTTACTCCACTACATTTATCTGATAACTTCAGTTATTTGCAGATTCGGGTTGACAATTGTATAATTGTAGGTTAAGATAAGACTTAGTTGATCCCCAGGGGGAATTCACAAGTTAGTAAGTAAAATGAACCCCAGCTTTACAAATTGCAGCACTGATGTACACATAATGCATTAATGATTACAATCCAGTGATATAATATACATTATTCTGAAATGGGCCACTCTTTTCTGTTATTTCTGGCACTTTAAATATATTTTGGGGCTAATACTTATACTTTTTAAGTAAAAATTTAAATGCCTGACTTTTACTGATTATTTGCATATTTGTAAGGGAATTTGCACCACTAAAGTACATAATCAACTCTGGCAGGTCCTCCATTAATAACTAACTTGTAGAGGGGCCATGTGTGTGCCAAGATCTAATTTTAAGACCTTTATTGTGCTCATTTTAGTGCTTATCAAGAAATGTTATTGTTGTATCAAGTTGTGTTTAATAAAATGACCCACTGCTATCTGACAAAGAAAACCTGGGGCCATGCCAATGTTATTTCATCATACTCTCTGGATGCGTCATAGCATAACAAAGTTGCCATGTGTAACCTGCTGTGTGTACTGTACATTTACAATGCACAGAGGGCTGTACATTGGAGTATTTTAGATGGATAATAATGAGTAGCCTAGAGACATTTACATTTAAAAAAAACAAACAGAGTAAAAAAGTAGATGTACATTTACTACTGGGAGAATAACATATTCACGACAGAAATGTGCTGACTCCAAGCCTGTGATAAGATATTTTTGATATGATGACTGAACATGTAAAAAATATATAAAAATACTAGCCTACATTATAATCAGTTTTATAAAGCCTGGTGAAGGTTACAGAAAGTCCACCAACAGTCGCAGGGTGGCAGCAGAGCGCTTATTGTGCATTGCTACTCCGCCGGAAATGGGCAGCAGAAGAAGAGCGAACCGTTGGAAAAAAAACTACAGTACTATCGCCGCGTCAGATGATTAGCTAATAGTAAAAACACTGTCAAACGACGGATAGTTCGCCTCTGTTTTCAGCATTACGATACGGTGTAAGTTGTCAATAATGTATATTGGTCCGTTATTTACACTTTGAAGCCTCTCTCGCAGCGCTGATAATGCTGGAAATGAAACTGCCGATGAAAACGGGCGAGGAAGGAGGCGACGAAACGGCCGAGGACGATTCATTGGATCAGTCGGAGCACCAACATATTCCCAGGGCTGTATCTCCCTCTTCGGTGTCCGACAGGCTGGAGGAGTCGCTGAGACCTCATTTGTATCCATCCCAGTTGGACAAGGAGACTGTCTTTGAGTGGTTCGGCCTCCATCTAAACCCCGCTAAGCGGATCGAGTTCATGTGCGGGCTCCTACATATGTGCCAACCCCTGGAGCTCCGCTTTTTGGGATCTTATTTGGAAGACCTCGCAAGGAAAGATTACCATGTTTTACGGGACTTTGAGTTTCGGGCAAATAGTCCGAGCGATTTGGGAGTTTTAACTGACGTGATTGACCCAGTGGTTAGGTCCAAACTCCTAGTCTGCCTGTCCCTCCTCGGGTCTGACAGCAGGGAATGTGCTGGAATACTCTTTCGGATACTGAGCCATGTAGACCCGGCCTTGTTCTACAAAAATTATGATTACTCCCTTCTTCCATTCAGGGGTCCTCACCATCACCCGTTCCGTCCGCCGTGTCAGGACGGGAATGTGTACGGGCGGACAGAGCAGACCTGCGGCTTGTCCACTTACGAAACAGCGGCAGGACCTCTGGAACAGTTGGCGTTGCTTTTTACCATGGCCTCTCTACACCCAGCTTTCCATTTCCACCAACGGGAGACGGTCCGAGGGCAGCTTGACAAAATAGAGCTTGCTGTAGAGGAGAGACGTCAAAATCAGCTTAGAATAAACGCCCAGACGACGGTAACTTAATGACCAATAAACCAACATTATACTATTAAACGCTAAGCTAGGTCGACATTTGCTTAACTTCAACTTTTGTTCTTCAAAGGAGAGTTTAAGTTTGTTGTATATGTGGTTATAAGTAAAATTATACGTAAGCATACATGTATAGCTAATTAGATAATAATATTTAACGTTACATTAGGCTGCATATTACAGCATGCTGAGTAGTGTGGCAGGAAAGGTCCTTTTCTTAGCATGAGCTGTCGTCCATGCTAACAGAGTTAGCTAACGTATATAAGCTAGCCGGTTAACCTGCCAGCAGCTAAGTGGTTCCAACTAGTGACACCAGCCATGTTAAAATGGTTAACATATTGCTAGGACTACGTTGCTTTTGTCCCATTGTGTTGCTTTCCATTTGTTAGGGCTGTGTATCTACATCCTACTAGATACTGTTATCTTTCTATATGCCCTGTAGAGTGAAAGTCATTAACAACTGGCTGCTAACCGGTGCCCTGTTAAAGCTTTATCCAGACGAAATGCCAAGCGCTGTTCTGATGATATTGTCTAATTATCCAGCAGCCTGCTACTCCAGATTGCCTATCCCAGCTGGTCTGTGCTATAACTGTGCAGCAGCAGGTGTTTGTCAAAGTGCTCTTTAACTTGTAGCTGTTTAAGTATTGAGTAGGGAAATTTTTACTCCAGCCGGACAGCTGATTTTACCGATTTTCTTCTCTTTTGCGGTAGAAATTTTGTCAGGTAAATTATCTATTGAGGAACTTGGTAAATTGAAGTTAAAATTTGCACCTGTTACTTTTCAGATTTTTTTTAATAGCAATAGTAAAATGTAACTCCCAAGGTTATCTGAGATTGAGCTGTTGCCTGCTTTTTACACAGCTGTTTCTCATTTCATCCCTTAATTTGTAGTGTACCATTAGAGCTTTCGATGAAGTAAAAAAAAATAATCAGACAACATAATGAAAGACATGCATGTGCCCTGGAGCATATGTGTGACTTATATAACAGGGGTAGTCATGCCTTTGATATTTGGATGTCAGATATTTTTCCCCACCTTGCAGTTCAACTGCCTGGTTTAATTCAGTTTGATTTTATTTATATAACACCTAATCATAACATGCATTATTTCATGGCACTTTACAGAGTAAGGTCAAGACCTTACAATATTATACAGCAAACCCAACAGTTATTGTTGTATTGAAGCACTGTCAGACTGGTTTTTACAATGGTAATAATGAAATTGATACTTATGGGTTTATTAATGTTATTAATAATGACAGCAGCAAATACAGAAACACCAATTATTTATAATAATGACAATAACAAAATTAATAATGATGATAGAGCTGCACAATATGCAAAAAAAAATCATATTGCGATTATTTTGGTCATTTCTGTTGTTATGGTCATCTTTGCATTTAATTTTCACTGAAAAATATAAAAATGTTGATGTGATGTCTTGTACCAAAAAAACATGTTCCTTTACATCTGGAGAACATGATTTGTAGGCCAGGGCATCTCTGTAGGACCACAACACTTATAGTGCAATCAATGTACAACTATGTTGTTTTGGTAAAACAGGGTTTCTGAAGAAGAAGAAGTTTATTAATGTTGTCATCATTTACCTGTTGCCACCTCAATAGAAAGCAGGTACAGCAGCACATTTGATTCTCTTGTAAATCAGTAGGGAAAGAACATATTTTTTAGACAACAGGTGTGTAGGAAACATAATTCCAAACATACAGAAGACACAGTTGAATACCCAGACTAAACAATTGAAACTTAATGTTATTTTGATAATATCTGAGCTTTCTTGGAACCAGAAAGGTACGTCAGTACTTAAACCACAATAGTGGTTGCTCTGGTTGCTCCATCTTTAACCAATATCCATGAAGGTCCACAATTAGTAGGTTTTTATTTCATGTGGTTCCAAACTAATTCAAATAGCTGATCATACTGATTAGACCCGTTTCCTTTCCTCAGGTTGGGGTTTTTTAACTGTGGAAAGAATCACTCTACTGTGCTTGCTTGAAATTAAACCCTCCAGACTGTAGAAACATAAAGTGGGGTGAAATCAGAAACACAAAGTTAGCCCAGGGTTTCCTTCCAGAAAACTATTAAACAAAGATGGTAAGAATTTTCTGTTGATCGAAACATTGTTTCAGCATTGAAAATGAACAGTCGTGAAAAATTAAGTACAACCCATGGAAATTGTTGATTTTTTTTTTTCATCATATTTGAACAAGCAACCATTTGATCCTCTTTGAAATGGTGCCAATTAATACAGGTGATCTACTCAAATAAATGACACATTTAGTTGAATATTTCACTATATTTTGTAGTCATTTTCGTTTTTTCAAAAAAAGGGATCAGTCGCATGGAAAGTCACACCTTTTCGATCCATAAAGGAGGAATCACATGTAGCAGATTAGGTATCAGTGATTTCAAAAAGATCTTCAAATTATTTGAAAGAAATCAATCCATTATAAGTGAAATTATTGACAAGTGGGGAAACTTTCAAGAGTAGACCATTTGATGCAAAGAGAAGTCTCACCAAACCCCAAAATTTCATCACCAGATCTGCTGGTAACTCTTGCAGCTGTTGGTGTCAAAGTGCATGCGTCTATAATCAGAGGGAGATTGCATAAATTTGACCAGCAAGGGAGCCTTGCCAGGAAAAAGCCTCTGTTTTCTAAAAAGAACATCAGAGCAAGACTAGTTTGCCAGTGAACATATAGACATAAGCCCAGCCTTTAGGATTAATGTGCCCTGGACAGATAGATAAAAGATAGAGTTGCTTGGCCACAGTAACAGTAGACATGTTTGGTGCAGACCAAAGACATCTTTTCAGGAGAAGAACCTCAGCTGTGAAACATGGTGGCGAAAATGTTACGGTTTAGGGTTGCTTCGCTGCCTCAGGGACTGGGCAGCTTTGATTCATCTATGAGTTCTGCATTATTTCAAAGAGTACTTAAAGATAATGTTAGGCCACTTGTCTGAAAGCTTAACCAGAAGGGGATCTTTCAACAGGACAAAGATCAAGCACACTAGCAAATCCACCAAGGAATGGCTCAAAGAGAAGAAATGGAGGGTTATAGAATTGCCTAGTGAAAGCCCAGATTTGAATCCCATTGAAATGTTGTGGGAGGATTTGAAACGGGCAGTGCATGCAAAAAAACATCTTGCAACATAAGGAATTTTGCATGGAAGAGTGGTCAAAAATTTCAGCAAGTCAATGTCAGACTGGTTGACAATTATCCAAAACGCCTACAAGAAGTTATTTCAGCTAAAGGGGGCAATACCAGCCTCTGTGGCCAAGGGTGTACTTACTCTTTCCACAGAGGAATATTAAATCTATTGATATTTTTGTTTAATAAATTATTGAAAAAGCTCACTTTCATTTTGGCTTTGTTTAAATAAACCTCCTCTATCTTTAGGCACTGTATCAAAGAGGATCAAATGTTTGCTTGTTCAAGTATGTTGAAAAAGTCAACTGTAAATGTACACTGTATACATATTAATGGAAAATCACTTCCCTAATCTGAAGTCATGTTAGGAATGCAAATGTAGCTGACTCTCGAGTGTCAAGAGTTTCCCATCAGCACATGAGCAACCCAGTTTACATTAGGCATACTCTCATCAGTTTAGCAATGAGTGGAAATGAATTGTCAGTATCTATTATAAATAAGTCTATCGGTAGTCTCGCAGAAAACGTTATTGTAAAACAGGCAATAATTAAAAAGTTAAACGTTACTTAAACTATTGCTCCTGCCTGATAAATCATCGCTGGTGGTTGACTACTAGAGGTAAAGCCCACATACGATGTTTAGCATTGCATAAGTAGCAGTAGAAATGTGAGCTACATTTACCTTTTTCGTTTAATACAATTCAAAGGGGAATTCCATTCCATTTTACCCACCATGTTTTCAGGTTAGGTTTACCACTTCATATGTTAAAAAACAAGCCCCGCAGGTGGAGCTACACGAAAATGTGTTAAGTGATGAAGACGTGATGAAAATGAAAAATTTCTGGGTTTGTGGAGTTAGAAAGAAGTGAGCATACCAGACATCTGCAGCCTGCTTCTCATCACTGCTTGAGACTAGCATTACACACCACAGTCTATCTATGATATAGGAGACCAGTGCTAAACCAGAGCAGTTCTCTTGTAATACAGTGACTTTACCTTTAAACAACACTGAGGGGTTGTCTCTGTTCTAGATGAATCCGTGGGGTTGACATCATTGTGAGTCAGGGCCTGGCCTGGTGAAGATGCACAGCTCTTAATAAAATCACACTTGCCATTTTTAGAGAGATGTTCTGTGTCTGGACCGTGGCACTGTCAAATCTGGTAAAAGACAGACTGTGAATGAGAGGGAGGTCGTGGCATTTCTTTGTGCTTACATAAGGTCTGCTCAGTCCCTTTGGATTGTCAGACAGTTATGCTTTAGTTGCCTTTTTGAAATCCCGCAGGCTGTGTTTACATGAATGGTGTAGCTTGACTGTTATCGCTTTTGCTGTTCCATTTCCTTTGGTATTTGTGTTGTACACACACGGTATATTTGCTGTTCACTTTGAACTGGAGATTAGTGGGTTTTCTTTAGGCTTTTCAATCCTAGTCACTGTATATACCAGACTACATGATTAGCTACATGATTAGCTAACTATGAAACCTATAGTTTCATATTTAAATGAAATTATAAATTATTAAGATCTTATGACATTGTAGTTTTGCTATAACTAAACATGAAACGTTGAAGGAACCAGTATGTGGCTGTAACTAACTTCATGTTTTTTTGCTTTCTAGGAGCTAACAGGTCAGAAGGTGGATTACCTGCCTCCCCCAGCGCTCGGTTTGGGAGAGTGTACAGCTTCTCATCCTCCCTGCCAGAGCCGACGCTCCAGCCGCTGGGCAGCACAGAGAGAAGGTAAATGGAAACATCGTGTATACTGTACATAATAATTGTTATTAATGTGATGCTGGTGCAACAGGGCAGCATTTTGATTAGTGGATCCAGTTTGTTCAGCCTCTTGATCTACTCTGTCAGCAAGGACAGTGCAAGGGACAAATATCTGTCAGAATAATAGATTTCTTCCGGAAAGCAAGGACATTAGTTACTATAGCTAGAATTGTTTTTTGTAAATTTAATTCTTATTTTCCTTTTTTCTGTCATTTGCGTGGCCTTGTAATTTTTTAAAATGCTTTTTATGTTGGTAGTTTTGCACAATGACCTCACATTTTTCTGTATTTCCTTTTTGAATAGTACATGGTGTTGACACATACAAGTTCATAGTAAGCGGTAACAGATAATTGTATGGGATTAAGTATTTATATAGGCTTTCTGTAGATGTGTTTGTCAAGTCAATATTTGCCTTGTCTCTAGCAGCTGTGATACAAAACCTGTCACAGAGTCATAATAGTTCATTTCTGGTCTCTGTTGCTGCAGCGGTGCATATAGAGGGAATTGTGCTCAGGGGCATCTCCCGGACCAGAAAAGACAAGGAATACAACTTTGAGGTATGTAACACCACAAACACACACACACACACACACACACAGCTCTGCTAATATGTGTGGATTAGGTGTGATTTGGTATGTTTATATATGTAATCTCAAGTACAGTAAGACTGTTTACACATTCATTGTGGTTATGTGTGGTGTTTCCTGTAGCGTAGCTGCGGGACACCACACATGCACACGCACATGCGCACACTTTCCGCTCTGTGGCTAACACCTTCCTGCATTGTGCTTTCAGCTTTGGTAGGTAGCCAGTTCACTGCATTCGAAAGATAAAACAAACAGTTAGCTTGATAGTGGAGTGTAACAATAACAGCTTAGTGAAAAACCTTGAAGTATTAAAGATAATGAAATTTAATAGAATAAACTTTCAAACAACCTATCTCAGGGCCACATCATTGGCTGCCTTTCTATAGGGCAGAGACGCAGGCAGAAAGTGATCATACCACATGGTCTCTTTCAGTCCATAAACCACGTTCAACCCCACACTGCTCAAAAATATAAAAACATACAAGCAGATGAACAGGGTGCAAGTATTACACACTGTCCTGCTACTGCTGATGCCCTATTTAAAAAATTTAAAAAATATTTCATATTAGACAACAACTCCTGCTGCTGAATCACTATCAGGTCAGAGGACATCATGGACTCAACTATTCACTAACCACAGCCTTCATATGCTAGTTTGTACGTGAGGTGTCTCTCTGGCATCACTTTCTCCCGTTGGTGTATTGTGCTGGTTATGCCAGTGTCAGCCTGGGGATAAGGCCTTTTTTAAAATCTCCAACATGATTTTTGAATCTGTTGAGCAGGATTTTAACAAGGTGGTTGCCCTGTATGTTGTAGCAGCCAAATTAAACTTGACCATGCAGGAAAAGAGCAGGTTCTGCATACGTCCATATTATTACAGGCATCATTTTGAGTGTGTGGGTTGGCTGTTGTAGGAAAATCTGGGGATTTTTTTCTTTATTTCCTTTATTCCTTCTTTTGCCCCAAATGGCTAATTCCACAGTGAGTGAGTATTCAGTGCTGCATTACAGAAAGAAAAATTCAGTAAGACAGATGGAGAGGAGACACTAACAGTCCTGTTGCGAGCTTTGATAGTCAAGCCAACAGCACTCACAACAGTGATCCACTCTCACTCTCCATCTGTTTATACTGGACACAAATCACTGATGCACACTCACACAGACTCAACACCCACATATTCTCACATGTTCGTACTGCACCCATGGGCTAAATAGACGTGTCGTTTTTATCATGTTGCATAATTAACATACCTTAGCTATAGATACGAATATTGTATAATACTGGGAAGGGCTCCTCCAAAGTCTCTTTTGAAAAAAGGTTGACTGTAAAAAAAAAAAAAGGCTGTAAAAATCACTTTTCCTTCATGTCAGTGTGTTACCAAGTTGGGATTTCCTCTATAGTTTCCATCTAGTTATTTATTTTAAAAGTATTATGCAGTTTTACTGGGAACACTGATTATCAGTATCAGCCAACAGACAGTTTCCCATATAACTGAGCCCCACAGTATTTAATCTATAGTCTGCCTATTACAATACTTAACTGAATTCTAAGCCCAACTTCATTAAAGCGAACTGAAGTAGTTGGCCCAATAAAACCAATCAAGTTGAGCCTCACTTGCCACAAGATAATGTAGCTAGCTGGTATTAAGACAGTAAGTCATCCCCTTAGTTGTTGCATGATAAGTCATAGCTTGCTATTTTTGTGGGTGATACAACACTGAATAAGATGCTCTGCAATAGCATGACTGTCTGACTATTCACACAGTTGATTTTAATACTTTAGCATCTACTGCAGACATAAAATTCAAATACAGTACTGTTTGAAGTGTTAGCTGCTAAAGGCAAAGTGAAGATGCTTTCAAAAATATAATGACATGACAATTACTGTCATACAAAGTTTAATTAACAGAGAAAACTAAATCAAATCAATATTTAAAACAGCACAGATTCTTCTCAGGACACTTACTTGGCAGGCAGGTTGTTCCTAGCCTCTTGGAGAACCTGCCACAGTTCCTCTGTTCCTCTGTGGATGTAGTCTGACTCAGTGTCTTCTGTCTCTTCCTGAGATCTCAGACTGACTCGATTTTGTTGAGATCAGGGCTCCGTGGGGGCCGAACATAAACTGGCACAGGCAGCTGTGTGGTGGAGGCTGGCCGGACATAGTGTATCAGTCAATAAAAACACAGTTTGACTGATGCTTATTGATCTGATAATTTATAATTAGGTTTTTGGTCTGGGACACTAAATAAGCATTGATCAAGTCATCTTTAATGAGCCAATTCTGATCAGTGTCCATTCATAAACTGCTTGGCCTTAAGAAGAGCACAGTGGCACTGTTCCTGTCCTTTGTTAATGGATTCCTATAGCTCATACAGTCACTCATGGCCACAAGTAACAAACAAATCTATTTTATTTACAACCTGGTTGTGTGTGTAGAAGTTAGAATTTTTTACGATGTTTGTTTCGTATAAAGAGAAGAATAGAAAGTGTTAAAATATGAACATTTCAAAAGTAGATGTTGTACAGTCTGAACCATTACATAACTGAAGAACATTTGTTCTTCTTAAACCCATTATATGTCATTTTCTGTCGCTAAGGGTCTCTCAGTGAAAACAATAACAAAAGACGGAGTTTGGTGACGTCATGAAGTAGCATGGGAGTTGTTGTCTCCACCGCTATTGCCATCATTGCAGTTAGCTTCTCCCGGTTCGGATTCCTTCATTGTTAATCATTCAGGAGGTTTTTATCAGGAGCTGAATTATCCACAGAGGTCTCCTCATCTCCAAAACAAACAGACCTGGTGATTATAACTGTAAAAAACAATGAATAAAATTGTTTCACGTTCAAAAATCTGTGTTTCTCTGACACTGTTTTGCGGACACAAGATGTCTCGGAGGGGCTGTGAGTCAAGCTGCAGCTGACAGCAACTTGTTTGTCTGACCTAATGACTAAAAAGTTTAATGTAAAAATGGGGCCTAAAACTGGATAAAAAGTCATCTTTGAATCTTCTGGCAGACAAACACAACAAAGGGCATATGACGCCATTGACAGACGACCAAACAAAATAGACTGTTTCCTTGATTACAATTACAGATTTCTCTTGGTTTGAAAATTGCTAGAAACATTTATGTTAGTACACAACTCAACAAAATATATAACATAGGTTTACTCATTTTTACACATTTCAATGCAGCCAAGTTAATGTCATACCTACATGATCATAGAGGGGGATGAAAAGGCAACAATACTATTTTTTTTTTTTGTGTGTCATGTTATTTTTGTTGATCTCCAAAAATAGATCACTTAAATCAACGTTGTGTAATCTTCTCTGTTTGGGTGTGTGCTTCAATATGTGTGTGTTTACTTTTTACTATGACATTATACCATCATTGCGTCTTGACGTCGCTGTTGTCAGTCTCATTGTCGTCCATGTAGTGATGGAGGTTGTCCTCTGCTGTGTTTCAGGTGAAGTGGTCAGACTCTTCTTCTAGCAGTGTGACCAAAACCCATCTGGAACTGGAGAACTTCCTTCTCAAGGTATCCACTTTTGTTTTAGCATGTGATTAAGTTATGGTTCTTAATCACAGGAAAAATCACAGTTCCTTTCCAGCCACACCACTCTAAAGGCACAGACATACTTTTCACATCCACATCTGCAGACAGCTGCAGGCTTTTCCCTGGTCATGGCATCTGGTTCCATTCATACTACAACTGAGGGTCTGTGTCGGTCCGGTGTTCTATACCTGAGCATTTCCCAATCCACACTCCATTCTAATTGGTGGCAGTAATGCTCCACAACGATGTTTGCCAACCGGTATAAAAAAATCAAAAATTAGAAGAAGAGAACAAGAGGAAGGCAAAAAAGAAAATATAATGTGCAAATACTCAATCCCAAAATGGATCCAGGCACATAATGTGTTCCAGCAAGTTTCCATGGAACTGTCTGAATAATTCAAAGTTTTAATAAACAGGGGTGTATTAATGTAAGTAAAATAATGAATCTTAGTTAAATCAAAGTTCAGTTCCTGGTCCGGTGTCTTGTGAGGTGAAACTTGTTGTGATGAGTGTGTCAGCACCATGGACAGTGTCAGAGACCCATATACCTTTTTTCACATAAGATCTTTTGTCACAGTCATAAAATTACAGGTGTAAATAGTAAAATGAACAATGGCTGAATTCCATTTAGCTACTTCAGTTTCAGGGTGCTGGTATTGTGCATGCAGACTCACTGTCAGTGAGACAGTTGAAAACTTCAATAGAACTGAGCCACCATTCATGTGTAAATGTTACAAGACCTGTGATTTCTCTGCAGTGACAAGTCAAAATATCTACTGTGAAAAAGACAATTTTACTGCCTTATTAAATGATAGAGACTGAACTTTTAATGAAGAATATTTCTGCATATTGTGGAATTATTGCCAAGTAGCAGAGAGTGATGTCAACATTTAAAATGTTCAGGCAGCAAATAACAAGATAAAAGGAGAAGATTTACTTTTACAAAAGTAAACACCAGTCAAAAGATTTGTTTTCAGTCTTCACCGTTTGAGCTACAGTGTGTAAAACAGTTTAAAAGCTTTATGCACAAACTCCAATGATGTTCAGTCGAGTCTAGAAGACAACTGACACATTCTTCAGCTAAAGCTTCATTCAAGACCACTGAAGCTGAATCCAAAGCTGCACCGCTGCATGTGGTACGACACATTTACACACTTATGACTGTTGTAGCTGTTACCAGGCAGACAATGATAGCTTTAACCTGTTTCTCAGTGAATCCTGTCTGTTGTTTACCTTCCCTCTTTTCTCTGTACAGCTTCCTAAGGATCAGTGCACCGAGTCCTTTGAGAAGAGCATCCTGAAACTCCTGAACCAGGGAGACCAGCATGAGAGCAGGGAGGTGGAGAAGAACCTCAGGTACATTACACTGTGGCACAGTAATTTCCTATTACTGATCATAATTACATAATTTGATTACAACCTCATTGTTTCCTTTTGTGAGTCTCAGTGGCCAGTCTTTCTGCTGTGTTGGATATTTTCATGGTTAGATAGAGTTAAAATACATTGAATTTCAGTTCGGGCAGTTACAGAGGGTGGACTTGTCTGGACTCCATGCTGTTGTTTGGTGTTCTCTGGCATTCACACCATGTAACATCATACGAGAACATTACAAACTGCAGCCTTGACCGAGGACAAACCGCTGTCCACACTGTGGTCACTTTCGGGGCTCTTTGGGTCATTTCCTGTATGTAATAAATCTTGAGTACATTCTTATTCCTCACTGTGCCTCAGCTCATTTAGAAGGCAGCTGACACCCATGCTTTCTGGGCTCAGGAGGCAGTCAGTAGAAACACCCAGAGAAATCCAAATCAGAGCAGTTAACTCCCTACAGGTGTTCAGTAACCACTCACGTGTATGAGCTGTTGTTTGTCACACAACAGAACTTTCTGTAACCGAAGATCGACAGCCTGTGAGTGTTATTAATGCTAATATAACAAAGCAATGCCAAGAAAAACACTGGATGAGAATCAAGAATGAGTTGAGACAACTGCGCCCCTCACCCCCTCTGACACAAGCCAAATTCCCACCCCCCCACCCCCGCTGCAAATTTTCAGCAGTTTGTTTATCTGCTTGTCAACAGATTTTCTACATAAGGGGAAATATCTGTATGTAAGAACAACGACTAAAGATCATCATTTTGAGCCCTAGTCAAAATGTCAAAATTTATTGAATGAGTGCAACATGCATAAAGGTTGATATTAATTTTTTGTCTTACTGTTGGGGAGTAATAATGCTCAAATTTTTGAAACTGCAGTTCCCATAATGCTTTTATGGATGTAACCAGAAAATATTTTGCCATGGATTCAGGGAGTTAGCTGTGGCTTACAACTTGATTCCTGTTTTTGTTAACAATTTGGCAAATTGGCACTGTTTAAAGTATGCCAAATTGTCTGTTAGCCTTTCCTGTTTGCACTGTACACATAGACATACAGACAAGTATCAGTGGATTACTTTGATACTGAAGGAAACTTTAAAATGTGACGATTCTTAGGCGAGTTCTAAAGTTATAAAGAGTGTTTTGTTTTCAATGATTTTGTCAGAGTAATGACTCAGAGAAGGAGTGAAATCTTTGGCACAAATTGCAGCAGTTGGATGCTAATGGTTTTGAAGAACCTTCATTTCCTCAGTAAGCGCTGTCTTTCAGCCTCTGCTGCAGCTCCAGCTGCTGACTGTTTCAGTGAATCAAATCACTAACAAACTACAACAGATGACTTCAAGTTGTATTCTCCCCTGGGGAGGAACCTCTCACATTGAGAAAACCTCTGATCTAGAGATACAGTTTCACTAAGGTTGACTATGACTATTTCTTTTAAATAAATCCAAATGATGCATGCAGCTTTTTACAGTTGCCCCTATAACACACTGTCAGGCACCAGGGATCTTATATTTTGTGGGTGTGTCATAGTTGGATGGCTGAGAAGAGGTCAGGCTGATTTTCAGAGCCAGTTATGCCCTTCTACTCATTCACAGCTTACACACACACACACACACACACACACACACACACACACACACACACACACACACACACACACACACACACACACAGTGGTGTCCATGGTGCATGAGTCTATGGGTTTCATTTTGTGTGAAGTGAAACTGGAAAATGAAACTTATCTCCCTGAGCTCCAGCCCATGACTCGGCTGCATCACTTTTATTTGCAAGTCTTTACGGATCTGGGCGTTACTGGTGTCAGGACAAAGCCTTTTGTTTTATTATGTTAACTGCAGTATGTTAGTGTAACTACAATATATTGGTATTAGGAGAGAGCTCTAAAGATGGTTACAACAGTTAATTTTTTTATTAATGAAGCGCTGATTTGCATGTTCAGGACCAGTGTGTTGATATGGTTTGAAGAGAGCGACACAAAGCCCAGTACTGTGACAGACATGAACAGGTCCATTGTTAATTGTGTTTTAAGTATGAAACAATGGCTTATTATAAAGTAATTTTAAATGGATTCATTTTCTCTTACAGATACTAAAACAAATATATGTAAAAGAAAGTAAAAAATGTAAAACTGTCTTTTCAGGGAGAGGTTCCTGTCTGCGCCACCAGTCTTCAGACAGACCAGAAAAGTCTGCAGCTTCTTCAATTGTGACTCCAGTTACTCTGCTAAAGCTTCTTCTTGCAGATGTGAGTATCAGACTAAGAATCACTGTCCATGAAGCTGTGAAGGAATGTGTTTTTCCTTCCCTTATAACATCTGCCCTTTATTCATATATTTTTAGCATATGACATGGTTCCTTTTAAAGTCAGCTTCAGTGATATGATCTCACATGGACACCACACACTTTCAGAATCTACTCTCTGTTCTCTTCTTCTACAGTCACTGAATAAATCTACTGTAAAACTGCAGTTTTAATTGTAGTTAAAATAACAAGAATGTTATTGTGGTATTGTGGCATTGTTAAAATCTTACAATAACAGTGTCAGTGTATTTTCTCTGATCTGTTATGTTCTTTAATTACTAATTAGATAGCTCATTATTGAGAAAAATATATTTTCACAGTCAGAACACTCATGGTATTGTTACTAAACCTTTGGCTAGACATGAAACACACGGATGTGGTCTGGCTCCAGGTAATTCATACATGATACAGTGGAAAAAAACACCTGGACAGCACAGAGAGCACATAAAAACACAAAAATGTAGGCATACTCCGTCATGGTTCCACGCATATGGAGGAAAATAAGTTTTTATGGTGATGTAGTGGAAAAAAATGTCTTTGTAGTATCAAAGGTTTGATAAAGATGAAGCAGTAACCCAGAATGGGTGCCTGCAAGGGGCATAGATCTCCAGCAACAGTTGTCACTGAGATGTGTGACCATAATCCGATTACTGTTGTCAGAAACCAAGTGATTGTTTTCTTTATAGGCAACTGCCAGCTGGGAAAGGCCTACCAAGGAGACTGCTCTGACGCCTCCAGTCAGGAGGAAGGTGAGACGAAGTGAAAATCTTTTACAGCCAATTTCCTCTGCGTAGAGTAGTAGTGGCAGGGAGGGAGCGACAAAGAGGACAAAAGAAGCGCACGGGAGCATGTATAATCAGTGAATGAGGCCTGACTGTGTGCACAGACAAAGCAAAGGAACAGCCCAGCAAGTAGAGCTGTAGTCGCAGCTTAAAAGCTAACTGGAGTTTATTTTTGGAGGTCGTTTGGAAAGGCTGAGTGTGTTTCAAATCCTCATATTTCTGGGCTATATTTGCCGGGTCATGTGCTGGACTGAGTTCAGCGCGAGCAGCAGTCCCACAGCCTGGCTCATAGTTTACATCAGAATGCATGAATGCTCAGTTAATGCTATGAGATTAATAGAATAGTCATTGCTGATACTGCTAATTAGATAATAAAATTACATTATATTTAGGTTAAAATAAACCTAAATATAACTTGACTTTTTCAAACTAAACAGTGTCATGTCTTAGCTCCCAGCACAGATAAAGGTCAAGTTATGCTTTGTTGCTAAGCTTAGTTTAGCATTAAGACTGAAAGAATGGGGAAGTGCTAGCATTGCCCTTTGATAGTAATTAAACCCCCCATCAACAAGTCATTTTAACTGTAAATGTAATGTCCTGTACTAGTCTCTGACTGGCTGCTTTACATGTAAAACACATTGGTGATAAATATCAATACTGTACTGTATTGATAATGTGAACACTTTCCCCCACTGTGCCACTGTCAGAGTAAACGAGCCCCACAGCAGCTATAACAGTGAACTGATGCTGTGCTGATGGTTACAAACTATTTTATGATATTTGAGTTGCTACCTTTCCTACTTTACATATTTGTCTCTTTCTTTATGTCTCTTTTAACATAAGAAGTAATAGGAATAATAAGAAAGAGGACATGTTTGACTTGATTTGACTTTCAAAAGGATATCTTTATTTTCCTTAGTTAAATATCTCACTTGAACTGTGGTGTTAACCTAACTTGCTTCATTTTCAGTGGACTTAGGATAGTGACAGATTGTGGTATAAAGGTTTCATTGGGCTTTGGGGTTTAGTATCAACAGCTGGAATTAAGAGCAGTAATGATACTAATATGACAGCGGTTCTATATCGTCAAATATCTGCTCTGGTCTATATTTTAAAATTGTGATACCGAGCAGATTTTTTTCCTTGTCATAGCGGGAAAACATCTACAAAAAGCATTTTACATCTTGTGTCTTGATTATTGATGAAAAGTAGTTGTAATGATGTTTTATTGATCTTTCTCTCAGATGTAGAGTCGTATGTTCAGGGACACAAGAAGAAGCATGGGACCAAGAGTCCATGTCAAGGGTGAGTAGACTGTCTATGATCTGTGCCTCTGACATCACTTCAGCAAATATAGCAGCATAAATAATAATGTAATCATAATAATACTACTGTATCATTATAATACAAAACAACAGCTGATCAAAAGGAATACAGTTCAGTAATAGTGAAACACGCTGAGACTACATTATTATTGACCTTTTTATGATCTAATACACATTTGAGAGGACAACACTTACATTCCTCTCCGTCAGTCTCTCTAGTGCCAAAGTCTCCCAGGGGGACGGGCGGAGAGGGGGCCACGCTGCAGAGGCCAATGGTCCGGCAGAGAGGAGGAAGAAGAGCGGCACTCTGAGAAGCAGTCAGGAGGCCGAGCAAGTGAAGGTAGAGGCCTCCTTTGTTCAATCCTCTGAGGAGAATCCACTGGGACATGTAATGTTTCCGGTGTAACTGTTCTATAGCTCTGAACCTTCCTTATTAACGAGAGAGAGTAGCCTTATTAAAAAACAATGATTCTTGTGTTGATGAGTCTATCTGAAGTAAGAGGTCGGCGGTGGTGTGAAAGTTTTCAGATCATTTTAAATGATTGATTGTGAGGAAAAAATTAAGAAACACATTTTAGCTTTTCTTTGAGGGTTGAAGGTTGACTGTTCCTGAGTGGTTTGGGTTGGAGGTCTTGCTGGGTCAAGATGTTTTGCTTTTCTCACCTGTAACAGCAGCAGAGGTATTTACCAGTGTAGGTTTGATGATTAACTCAACTGTACAGTTCAGAACCACAGTTCACAGCTACGGACAGTTCCATGAACACTAGTTAATCATTACAGCTTGTAGTTACACAAAGGCTACTCCTCTGTACGTGTGTGTGTGTGTGTGTGTGTGTGTGTGTGCGCGTGTGTGTGTGTGTGTGTGTGTGTGTGTGCGCGTGTGTGTGTGTGTGTGTGTGTGTGTGTGCGCGTGTGTGTGTGTGTGTGTGTGTGTGTGTGCGCGTGTGTGTGTGTGTGTGTGTGTGTGTGTGCGTGCGTGCGTGCGTGTGAGAGAGAGATTGGATGTGTTACACACTGCCACGTGAATGGGAGTACTCACTGCTAATCTCACTGATATAGGTCAAGACTAACTGTATGTGTGAGTGGGGGAGAGACACACTGCTGCTGACAAAGCACCCCCCCCCTCCCAATAGAGGCTTAACACATAGTAAATGTAAACCTTTCTGCTGCACAGTGCTGCCCCAATTTCTTGTGATTGCAACAATTATTACTAAGAATATTCAAATGTCACTTATTTTTTATGAGTTTAGTTTTATGATTTCTTCTTTTCCCCATAGATCATGAAATATTTAGTTAAATTCTACCAGCATTGGTACATAACGAAGATAACAAACATATATCACATCTTTTTTTCACACAAGTAAATTCATGATACAGCAAACTGACTAAAAATAACTTCCATACCATGTTACTCCAAAAACCTGACAGTAGGAATGTAAGGAGCAAGTCTTCCCTCCTAACATTTAATGCTCTCCTTTGGGACATTTGGATAAAAATAACTGCAAATGATATAACTTACAAAGAGTAGTATAGGTTTTGATTGTCCATTTATGTCGGTAAAAACTTAATATGATGTCAGCTGGAAGTTGAGACTGGAAAAAATGTGGCTGTACTATTTTTGCACCATTGTTTTCCCCTTTGTGTGAAACACAGCTTGGTGTCTGTCTTTTGCTGTTGTGGTAATTTAGATACTTTGTAGTGACTCTGTGATGCTACAATTTCCTAATTAGTGGTTAACTTTTGACCACACATTATTCAGAGGTACTAAGCAAACAAAATTACCATAAATAAATTCTTTGAAAATTGAAATCTGTTGTAAATGTTTTGGAAGAAACCTAAAGCTGCTCTGAAATGTTCTGACTCATTCTCTTCCTCACAGCTCCAGGAGGCTGAGAAGAGAAGCCACACAGTCACTAAAACCAAGAGCAGAGTCCTGCCCACAGACAGGTAGGTCAGCCGCAGCTTATCAGAGTTTAATGACGGTGTTCAGGTAACTTTGCAGGTATCGATGCTGCAGTGTGACACGGTTGAGTCAAATATAAATAAAGCTAAAATAAAAATGATGCATTGAGAGAAAGTCACATGAAAGCCATTAGCAGTGGTTCTTTTTATACATCTTTGTGTTTCAAAAACATTTGATCAAATCAAATGCGTGATCTGTATGGTCACAAGATGATGTATTATCACTGATATTAAAGCTACTTATTTCACTGCACTGCTCAAAGGTCTTCTGCTCATCACGCATCTCATTTACATCTTTTGTTACTGAATTTCTCTGCTGACATGACTTTGTCCCTTTGTCCTCCATCTCTGCCTCCTTTCAGGGACAAGGGGAAGGGAAAAGGAGCTGCCTTTGTGACCAATGGTAGTTTGGTGCCAGTTCTGTCACCTCAGAGGAAAGGTGAGTGTCTGGGTGACTGGTTGTAACAGACCAACAGTGGGAAGGGACATGTAGTTCTGGATAAATTGTGAATGTGTGACACAGATATGAAACTATGACACGAGGGAGGGAAAGACACTGTGAGGTAAAAGAGACGGGATCGTGCTGCTGTTCTAAAAACAACAGGAAGTTAGGCCACTGATTTGACTGAATATTAATTGCACCCCTGCTCACAACCCAGTCAAAACAGAACACAGATACGACCCACATATTTTTAGATTCAGTGTAACTTAGACTTTCCAGGGGGGTATATCATTAAGTCCATCACAAATAAAGGTTCATAAGTCCTCTTTAGTTAAGTTTTCTTCATTGTCAGAATACAATACAAACAGGAAGTGCCCCTATTACAAACAGGAAACGCTAAAAGCTAATTCAGCATACTTTTAATGGTGCACAAGCCTAAAAAATTGGGCTCAATATGAAGGAAAAAAAAGAAATGGGGCTCAAACGTGTTGATGTTAATTTAGCAAATAGTGAGACAAAGAATAATAACAGAGTGACAAAATCTGAATTTCATCTGCAGGTGGAGGTTCAGGTCCAGATACTTTTGGTGAAACATCATCAGAAAGCTACAGTTCTCCATCCAGCCCTCAACACAGAGGACCAGAGAGCCTGGATAGTGAGGATGACAACAACAAAGGTAAAATACACAAACACACTATGTATAAAATACACTTGTTTTTATAATGAGGGATGTAGCTGTGTTGTGGCCTCTCTCGCAACATGAATCTGTTCTGACCTGATGTTGTGTCTCTGTTAGATACAGACAGCCACTCTGATGATTCCAGTAAAGGTCCTGGCCCTGACGTCTTCTTCACACACCAGACTAATCCAGCTGTGGTCGGGAACGTCTCCTCTGTCCATCCTCTGTCTTCCAACAACCACCGGGCTCAGATGGAGCCCCTCTGCCCAGACACCAGCGCAGAGTTCCCCCCTCTCCCCTACATGCATTCTCTGCCCTACGTTCTCCCCAACGGCGCCACCGACTCTCCACTTCCACTGGTCCCTCCTCCCAGCCAAAGCATCATCCCTGATGGGAAGCCCTCATCTGGGACTCTGATGATGCAGATGCCCCTAGTGCCTCCTCCAGCCATCCCAGGCCCTGGAATTGTGGGAGACCCAGAGAAGAGGGACATGCTCCCGACGTTTGGGATTTCACCCATTGGCCTCCACCCTCCAGGAAGTCTTGCTGTACAGCCTCTGGTTCAGAGGTTCAAAACAGTTCTGTCTCACAGCCAGGGCGGCCCTGACGGAGCCTCAGGAAGTGGTTCTACTCCTGCTGTCCCACAGGCTTCACACCAGGCCCCTGTAAGAGCCATCAGTGTCATGACTCCTGGCCCCACATCCTTCTCTTCTCCTCTTCAGCAGTCTCTTCCCTGCCAAGACCCGGCCAGTGTCAGCTCAGGTCTGGCCTCCTCTCTGCCGCATGTGGAGACTTCACATCCCAAGCACCCCAGCTTAACCTTACCGTCTGGCCTGCCTTCCCCCTACACCCTGCCCCCTGCACCCACATCTATCATGCCTACTGTAGGAGCACCTGCTGCCACTGGAATCGCTCCATCTACTGGACATGTACAAGCAGCTGTTCCTCCAGCTGTGCCCACCCACACCCCTGGACCTGCCCCTAGCCCCAGCCCAGCACTTACTCACAGCACGGCACACAGTGACTGTACATCCTACAGCAATAGCGGCGCTACCACAGGAAGTGCCCCTGTTGCCCCTGGCAACCCTATTACTCTTCAGCAAACCCAGCAGCAACAAGTGGCTCCCCAGCAGCCGCAACCTCAGCAACAGCAGCAGCAGCAGCAGCAGCAGCAACCAATGGGCTGTGGGACGTGTGGCTGTCACAACAACTGTGGCGGGCGAGGCAGCAGCAGTGTCAGCGGAGCCTCCAGCTGCCAAGCACCTTTATTCTTCCCCACCCACCAGATGGCAGCAGCAGCAGCACGGCAGGTGTTCAGCGTTCCTCCACCTCTCTTCCAGCTAACAAGCCTGTGCAGCAACAGCTACCTCACCCAGCCTCAGCCTCCTCACCAGGCTAATGGTGCCGCCACGCTGCCCACCTTCTTCACCGCTGCCCCACCCCCTGCACACCCATCCCCTTACGGCCCTCTCCACACTCACTCTCACAGCCATGCAGACGTGCCATCACACATGCTGGGCACCCAGGCGGCGGCAGTGGCGGTCGCCGCAGCCGCAAACTACAACCTGCAGCAGCAGATGGCGCCGGCAGCATCGTTCTGTCAGCGCGTCTACCAGCACGTGTACCCAAATCCTCTGGGGATGCTGCCTGCTGCGACACTGGGGGGAGGTGGAGTCAATAAGAAGAACGGCAATGTGTCCTGTTATAACTGTGGTGTCAGTGGCCACTACGCTCAGGACTGCAACCAGCCCTCCATAGACTCCACACAGCAAGGTAAAGCAGCTACAAGGTACAGGGAGAAACAGAGGACCCTTTAGTTTTCCCTTCCCAGAATCCACAGCAGTCATCAGAGTCCAGCATTCAGCCTAGACCATGAGAAGTTAGGGTAAATTTTGAGTTGTTCCACCTGTACCACTGAAACACTCACTGTACCAAATAGCATCAGTGTGAGGCCTGAAAAGCCAAGTCTCGGTTCAGACTGTGAGTGTTCTTACGCGGAATAAATCCTGGAGAAGAGAAGCTATAGCAAAAAGCCGACGAGTTCGTCACACATAGATAGAGATCAAAGACGGTGTGTTTGTTTTGACTACACCTCTGACTGATTAGCCAGTGAGAGAAGTTCGTATCAGCTCCTGGTTTGTGTGTTTATAGACACACAGCAAGAGAAACTTACCTCAACAATCTACAGACAACAAGCAGTAGGTGGAACCACAGCTGTAGAGTTCCTGTGTTTTAGGATGCAGTCATACATGTGACACCGTTTCACCATTTTAATGTGAAACCGGCTGTCAATTGTCAGTTGACAAACTAAAACACAGACAAGCTCGCTCACTCATGATTAACAGGCTGAAGATTATCCAGAGGGGGGAGCTGTTAAGTCACTGTCAGACCAGTTCTACACTGCTCAACTTCGCCACCTTTCCTGTAGAAGATAGTGAAATCTGCAGGTTTAAACTGATGAAAAATGAAGATCTGAAACTACTTTTTCAAAACAGTGAACATTGTGTCATGCCATGAAAAACAACTATGGCAACATTGATAATAGGTCTGATGTTCCATGTGAAGTCTGACTTTCATAGTGACTGCCAGTTCATTCAACTCATTCAAAGAAAGTCTTTGGCTTTTCTTGAAAAATATGCAAAAACCTAAAATATACAGGAACAAAAACACACAAGGTTTAGACTGAGAGAAAAGCAAGCTATATCCTCACTGACCTTATATAATGTTCAGATTATCATTTCCTCAACTGATTGTGTATCCTCTGTGTGTGTGGATACATCTGTGTGTGTCCATGTGGTTGCTTGTGTGTTGGTGATTCATTGCAGGTGGCTTCCGGTTGAAGTACGCAGCCTCTCACATTTCAGAAGCGTTTGACAATGCCGACTGAAGAAGAACAAGAAGAAGAAGAAGAAAGGATGAAGAGTTCCTCTGGTGTCGTCTCCACAGTGAAGGTCCTGTTCTCCCCCAGGCGATGTGTGCGAGCGGTGCACTAAAGCTTCTGTGTTCTTCAGGAACAAAAAAGAAAAAATTCAAAAAGAAAGAGTGACCTGCCAAGGGCTCAGTGGACAAAGCCTAAGTACTTGTGCCTGAGAAAATCCTGTTCTGTGGAGGTGATACACTGTCTCACGCACACCAACGGTCCATGTGACTCCCGGTCCCTTCCCTTTCAGTTTGTTTTTGATATTTTTGCACTGAGGGTTGGAAACAATTAACTTATTACTTAATTATTAGGAAGTTGACAGATATTTTGGGGAAATTTTTGTTTTGTTTTTACATAAAAGTGGAGAATAGTCTCGACTGAAAAAGGTTCTTATTTCACTTATTTCTAAAACAGCGTATTTATGTGTTTTCCCCCTTATTAGTTTACCTGGGGTTTTACTGTCTGACAGAATTGTATAGCAGTCTTCAAAGATTTAAACAAGAATCAAAACATAACATAAGCAAGAGGGGATTTTATTTTTTCTTTTAATTTTCAAATTTGCTGTAAGTTTTTTGAATGTACACCTTCTCATTTAAGGAATCTGACTGTATCAAAATGTATGGATCTCATGCATTTTTGCCACTTGATATATGTTTGGTTAGAAAGTAAGTGCTGCTTTGTATTTTATTTTAAATGTTTTACTTGGTGAAATGCACTATAGTGAAGCAGGAACTTAAGTGCACTAAAACAGTCCTCACCACAGCCAAGTTCATGTTAAGGATCTTGTTATTTTCTCGATCAAAATCAGAACGAAATAGCAAACTAATCAGCAAACACCGCATTTTGACTGTTTTAGTCTACTTTAGTATTACAGGTGTGAAATAGTTTTTATGGCTAACGTTTTACAGCGAGATCTCTGTGTTCTAAATGAAAAATTACAGATAGTGTAGAAGAAGAAAATCAGTCTTTCTTGATCACAGTTGAGTGAACCAACAGCAGTCAGCCCACTTCTCTATCAGTCATCTACCTGGTAGGATGCAGTGGAGCTTTATGGTCGCTGAAGAAATGTTTTTCTTTTTTGCCCCCCCCCCCAACTCATTCAGTCTGAAGCTGGGCTAAAATTCCCACTTTCACCCACAGAAAATACAAACATCTATCGGGCAGATTCATGCTCTCCAGAAGAGAAGGCTATTCTGGTTTGGACACTTATAAGCTAAAGACAGGACGTAAAGTTTTTAACCACTACTGGGAGGACTCTAAAGGCCTCAGTTTGCTTCAACACAAGAGTGTGTGTCCAGGCAAAAGCGTGTTAAACCCATTCTGATTGGCTCTGTTGTCACAGCCTCCTCCGGCGTCACAATGCCACCCCGATCGCTCTCCAAGAATAATGTCTTTTGCATGTCTGCGTTGGCCCTAAATTCAAATTGATTATTGTCTCTGCCCCTTCAGTTTATTTGAGTCTTACTTGTATAAGTCAAATCACAACAGCTGTACAGCTGTGTCAGTCTCATCCACGCTTGATGCCATTTTTCTGTCACTATTTTTATGGATGTAGCGAGGTAGGTAGCTTGTTCTGTTGGAAGATGTTCCCATTCATAAAGCAAGACTGTAACGTTTGCTGAATTGTGGCCTCGAGTGATTTGACAGGATGTTAAATGTTGGAGAATAGTAAGAGTCATAAAATCAGTGAACTTCACAGTTTTAACCACACAGCGAGAGACTATAGTGACGCTTTAAGAACACTACAGTTTGGTATTGTTGAGTGCAGCCTCTTGGGGTCTCTACAGAGGATTAAGACTGTCAAGCTTATATTTTTATACAATTTTGAATGTAGTAGAAATATTTCGGCTGTTGCCTTCGTGAGCGTAGGAGATGGAGCAGTAGGGCCAGCTTTAAACAATTTAGTCAAGGGTTGTCGTTTATAGTCTGATAATCATCCTGAATTTTCCTTTTGTTTCTACTTGACAGACAGACTGACATAAAGAAGAGAATTTAAAGCAAGTTTCATTTTTATCTCACAGTTGCATTTAATTTTAAATAGTTAACAGGTAACAGCTGATTCCATTTTAAGCCTATATAACACTACACACTGAGGAAGGCAAAATCTGACATTTCTGTACTTGTTAACTGAATTAAAAAAAAATGTGAAAGATCTATAGTTTTTATTGCTGAACCAATATTTGCTCATTAACATTTTCTGAGGGTTTTCCTAAAGCTATTGTTTTTAAATAATGAATGGGAGGCAGTGTGTGAGAATATGGAGGCCCGAAGTGTTCAATAGTATATAAATAAATAAAAAAAAGTGAGTGAAATAATTTACAAAAACTATTAAAACTTAATTCCATGTTATGACGTGTTATTTTTATTCATTTCATTTTTACATTAATTTCAAAATGTCCGTTAATCACATTGAACTAACCTCTCCTTTTATTTATTTAGCTAGACAAGCCTGCACAAGCTAATTAGCTAGGCAGGGTTGTGAGCTTGGTTTATTATGAGAAACAGACCAGCCTACCTAGTTAGTCACCTGATTAAAGTTATTTATTTGTATTTATTTAATATCGAACACTTTTGGCCTCTGTAATAGAAAGTGTCCATAAGGTATTAAAAGTTCTCATTACAAAATAACGGCAAGATGACATTGAACATCTCATAGCCTGTTGATAGTGAAGTGTGTACTGTATGAGTCCATCTGAAGATCACAAAAATGTTGGATTTTTTTTTATTTTTTATTTAACAATAACTTTTTCTAAGCAGCCATTTTTTCTCAGTGATGCTCTCAAGTGTTTAAAGTTACTATAGTTTTTTCTAATTAAGTGTGTGTGAGAGACTCTGCTCTTCAGTTGTTTCAAGCTCTTGTGGACGTTCTGCTTGTTTTTGTGTTTTTGCTCAAACTGCTGTCAGTGCATGAGGTAAATATTCATCTACGCATACACAGCTGTTTGTCCTGAATGCTTAAAGTGACTGCCAGGAGATTCCAGTGGTGGCGACCATGACATATTTAATGTAAATCTGTAAAGAATGATCACCATCAGACACACTGCTGTTAAATGAGACTGTCTCCAGTTTCACTTTAAAGATTATTTATGTCCCAAACTGTTTCCCAGATATTCTTCCTTTCGTTCAAGACTTGAAGTGGATCAGAAGATCCTTCTGAGTTCTGGATCCAGAGATCATGAGCAGTGACCTGATGTGGACCAGTCAGACTGTTGTGTGGATGAAGAGTGAAGTCCAGTGTATATACTGAGGATGCACCAAGCAACCCAAGTGTAGTTTTGTCGACCTTGATGGTTTAAAAAATAAATGCTGTACTGTACATTTGCAAGGGGTCACTCTGCTGCCACCCTCGGTTGTAATGTTTACTCTACTCTTTGATATCTATGTACTGGAAAGGTCAAATATATTTCTAGAGCGGGATTTTATGCAAACTGTTGATCTGTTTTTTTCCTGTAATTAAAAGCAATAAATATAAAAACAGAAAGTGAATTTTTCCTGACTCATTTTACATTCATTGTTGGACTGTTTCACAGGGTTGAGCAGAATGAGTAATGTTTTCTATTGGAAAATTTTGACTTATTAACCTTTAAGACGAATGTAATGATTTTTCTCAAAAACAGAACATGAATAATTTCGTTTTTAGTTGAACAGTGTCTGCACTGACAGGCAGTTATGAGGATATTTAACAAAACTTAAAGCAGACATATTAACTGTGATTACAGTTACATACCTGGAGTATTAAATTACTTGCAGCCTGAAAGGTACAAAAAGAGAATGAATCCCAGATAGAGATTGTGGACAACACTGCTGATGTATGTGTAATTCATCACACACGTGAATATGATCCAACACCAGTGATTATACCACACAGCAGAACAGGGTGAACATCGCACAGTGATTTGAATGATAAAAAAAAAACTGCTGTGAATCAGCTTCAAAAATGGACCTTTATATTTATTGTATTACATGGCTAATAGTCATAACTTACAACATTAATAATCATTTTTTCAAAACCTCTTTATTCAAATTTTGAAGCTACATTCACTACAGTAGTGACAAGGAATCTCCTGTATTTTCAAATACAAAATATAGTAGATAAATAAAACAGACATTCAAATATTTCCAGGAACAACAAGCAGCTACAAACCAGAGCCACTTTCACAGACGATTAACTGGACTTTAAAGATGACTGGTGCCAATATATCTCTTTCTAACAAATGAGTTACTAGAAACAAATAAACGATGGCACATCAACGCTTTGTCAGTATCGCTGACAGACTTATGTGTTCATCCATCTCACTGAAATGGGTTGTGATAACCGACTGCAGTGTTGTCAGACTACAGACTGTGTTAAATGCTTTTTGTGTGTGTTCAACTCCTGTTGTTCTGTAGTGAGTCTATGAGAGACTTGTTGTACTCAGTCACTTGTTGAGAGACGTTCTTGGCAACTGAGGCGTAGTCACTCTCCTGGGATTTAGAGGCGATGACTAATGCTGCAGTTAAGGAAAGATCACTGATGTAACCAATGGATGACTTTTATATAGAAACATCACATGTCTCACTGAGCTGTTGTCTTTGGAGATGAAGAGCATAAACAAAGCTTAAACAAACAATCAGATAAAAGACTGAAGGATACACTCTTTCATTACAAAGTTGTTCTGCTCCAAGTGTTGCCACTTCCTTTCCAGGTTAGCCAGCTAAAACAGAAAGCAGAACATCAGAGTTTGTAACAACATAAAATGTTGAAGTGCCTTGCTCAAGGGCTCCACAAGGGTTACTGAAGAAGGCATGAGCGCATATTTCCTGAAGTGAATCAACAAAATCACAAACTGGAATCTTACAAGAAATTGCATTAAAATCCCCAAAATAGCTAAATGAAAACTTGTGTCTCTGTTTAACACAATGCATCACCTAATAATTTCAAAGTGTGAAAGTGTGAAATGGTCTGACCTGAGCATGAGTCTCGTTTTCCTGCAGCTTGGTCTTCAGAGCTTGATATTTCTGGTTCATCTCCTGCAGCAGCTCTTTGAAGGAATCCCGACGCTGAGTCAGTGAAACCCGGTCCTCCTGCAGTCTCTGCACCAGAGGAACAGACACATGGTTGGACTTTAGTTTAGTCACTTTGGTAAAACAGAAACAGGTTATGTAGTGTTTCTGATTACTTTGATGGGGCTGATTCCTCCACATACAAACAAATATACTGTACATACAGTACAGAGCTGTATACAGCACATCTATTTCTCAGTGTGTAGTATAGAACTTCAGGATCATCCATGTCTCCAGCACAGCCCGTGTTACCTTCTTCTTCTCCTCTGCTGTGTGTCTCAGGGTGTCCAGGTCTCGGTAGGTGTGCAGCTCTGACTCCATGGTGCTCACTCGCTCCTTCAGGGTGCTGAGCTCTCCTGTGATCTTCCCCTCCAGCTGCTGCACCTTCTCCAGGTCCTGCTGCAGACGCTGGGACTCTGGGTGGTCACAGTGAAAGTGAAAGTGTGTGTGTGTGTGCGTGTGTGTCTGTTTGTGTGTGTGTGTGTGTGTATTACTGACCTGTGGTCAGTCCCCGGGCAGTGCTCTCTGATTGGACCACCTCGGTCTCCTTGCTGACCAGCACCTCCTGCATGTTCCTCAGCTCACTGGCCGTCACTGTATCTACCTGACGTAGCCGCAACATGTTCTACACACACACACACACACACACACACACACACACACACACACAAACTTTGTCTTTTTCCAGTTATTTTCTCCAACTGCTCCATCTCTGTATCCTTCCTACTTTCCCACCTCTCCCCCTCCTCCTCACCCTGCTGCAGTGCTCCAACAGGGAGACGATGTTCTCCTGGCTCTGTGTCATCTTCTCCTGCTCCTGAGCCCTGGACTCCTCAAACAACTCCAGGAAGCCTGAAACAAATGAAGGAAGTTACTGACACTTACAACGGGCTGCATGTTATTTTATCTGAATCAACATCTGTTAATGCAGATACGCTCCTCTGTGCTTTGGTGACTCCTGGTGGCTGTATCCAGCATCTGCATCAGCCTTCACGTTCCCACATTACGTCAACATTTTTTTAAATAATGTTATTAATGTTCACACTGATGATTGTGTTTGGAGACAAATTATTTTTATCCATCATAAACTAAACCATTAGCACCTTTCAGAGTGGGAGAAGCTCCTCAGAAACTCTAATATTGTTTTAGAAACATAAAATAATCCATTAACCTATTTATTCAGCCAACAGTAATAATAATAGTAGCAGCAGTTTTATTGTAGTTTTATTTATTTTATTGATGTGAAATTTAAAAAATACAGATAAAAACAATGTTTTAACTCCAGACTTCCCTCCTCATGTTGGGGTCCCTGTAACTTCCACTACTCCCCTCACTTCAATGGCTCTGCATCTACTATGTGAAAGCATCTCTATCGTACCCACAATACTGTTATATTTCTAATATCAAGTTATTAAGTATATAATATTCTGAAATATGATAGTCATTATCACTCCTGTCTAGTTATACACAAAATTTCAACTTACGGTCGATTTCCTCCTCTTTCCTCCTCAGCTCTTTGTATTTCTGTTGACACTCCCCTGATGGAAAAACACAGAGAGCAGTCACATTAGTATTGAATTCATACTTTATTTACAAGATGGTCTACATAGTTTCCCTGTGAGAGTTCAGTGATATGATGAAGTGCAGATGTGTCATATCATATATATATGATTGAAATATGAACATACAACGTTTGGATATAAAAAACATGGGAAATTTGGAAACTTTATGGATTGGAACAAAACACATTAGCAGTAAATCAGCCCAACAGCCCAAATCTATAAAGAGGTGGCATCCTGCAACAGCCCTGTTTTTGCAAAAAAGTTATTTAATTTATTTTAAAGTTCTTAAAACTGTATTAATGTCAAAGCAGCTGGAAACTCAACAAAGATAAACCTGGAAACATAAAAAATGTTCTGCACTGTATAAGATGAATAAAAAATAAGCTAAAAAACGAAACAAAGTTCAGTTGAAGTCGTCGAGTGTGTTCAGTGTGTTACCCTGAGCCTCCTCCGAGTCCTGCTCCAGCTGTCGGATCTCCTCTGTGATCTGTCTGGTCCGCTCTCTGATCTCCGTGAGCCTGAACACACACACACACACACACACACACACACACACAGACACACACACACACACACACACACACACACACACACACACACAGACACACAATCAATACACAGAAGCAAAATACATTTACAACTAATTCATTAATATGACATGAACACATACTGTCTCCCCATGCTGGCGATTTCCTGGTTGTCCTCCTTCACCTGGAAAACAGAACATCTTAAAACTTTTATTTACTAACTATGTTGAGTTTATCTCAATGAAAACGTCAAATCACATCTCATTGTCTGAACAGAAGATTATAAATTGTGGTTGAAAGCTCTGGAATAATCTAGTGAGTGGATCTTTAATTTAGATTTTCTAGAAAACAACAATATATTGATTTTTTAAATATTCATAGCACTGATCAATTAAAGGTTATTTTATACTAATACAACTTTTGTTTTATTAGTATAAAATTTGTCAGTTTGAAGTCACATGTTTCTCACGTCTTTATGTGAAGCGAACCTGTTTGATTAACTTCTCTCTCTGCTCCTGCGGTGAACCCAGACTCCTGTGCTCGGCCTCCATGGCGTCACGCTTTGACTCCAGCGCTGACAGAGTCTCATGAAGCCGAACCACTTCCTGTTTGATCTGCGAGTGGGCCAGCTCCTGCACAAAGTCAAATGTCAGATAAAACATCCTGTACTACCACTTCAACTGGAGATCATGTTACTATTGTTCCAGACCTCTGACCTCATGTAAAATTCATGTGTGGAGTTTAAATTAATTAGTTATGTTTCTATTGGTTAGAAGGAATTAGATGAAGGAATGGATGCATTATCCATTCATTCATCTATTTTCTGCTGCTTATCCAGGTTATGTTTAATGATTAATGACATTATTACAATTACTTTTTTATACTGCCAGGATGTAATGACAAAAACTTTACACTGCTCCTGTTAATAATTATCAGTCCTTCTGGGTTCACTTTGGCTGGTATGACTGTGTAACAGGTATTAAATTACATTCTATGTGGTATTAAAATATCTAAATAATGTCTTAAATTCAACTTTGTGAACCCAGCAGAAACCCTGCCTTTCTTCTTTTACCACTCCCACTCCACCCCTCCCTCCTCTGTTAAAGCCAACTCACTGCATCGTAGTCCTCCTTCCTGGTTATCAGAATGTCCAGCTCTTCCTGGAGAACAGTTAGCTCCTGCAAAACAAAGAACAAGGATGCAAGGAGAAGAGAGGAGAAGATTTAACTACAGTGTGACTAATATCAAAGTATTGTCATTGTTAGTTAAACTCACATAAATTAATGCTAGAAGTAGTAGATAATGACGAAGGAGAAGGAGAAGAAGAAGTAGAAGAAGATTTATCCTGTGAAATGTCAAGGACTAATACCACTTATTTACAGTTTGAGTGTGAGTGAGGGAAAACTCCTCAGTCACACTCACTGAGTTTATTGCATCGTACATTAGAGATGGTTTAGTGAGACATTTAATACCATGATTACAGCTCAGAAAGCTGAGACTTGTTACTTGATCTGATCCAGCCTGATTGTCAGTGTGACTTGTCCTTAAACGTGACACCAGCATATAAAATTCCAGTTTATTGACAGTCACATTTGAAAAGAGCTTGTTACTACAGCAGCATTGTGTCAGTATTAAGCATGTTATACTAATACTTAAGAAGTACAAGCAAAAGAGCAGCATTATAATAACATGAACTACTGTTTTACCTGTAGCAGTTCCTCATTGGCTGTTGCCATGGTGAAATACTTCTCCTGCTTTGCAGCTGGCATTGATTGGACAACCTCGTCAGCGACCAGCCTTTCCCTCCTTATCTCCTCTTCAACCGCCCTGATCGCCTCCTCTCTCCTGTAAAACAAACACACAACAGGGAAGAGATGTTTAAGTTTATTTTTTTTTACTTTTACATTGCCTCAAGGGCGGCACGGTGGTGCAGTGGTTAGCGCTGTCGCCTCACAGCAAGAAGGTTCCGGGTTCGAGTCCCGGCTCGGGCGCGGGGTCTTTCTGTGTGGAGTTTGCATGTTCTCCCTGTGCTTGTGTGGGTTCTCTCCGGGTACTCCGGCTCCCCACAGTCCAAAGACATACAAATGGGGACTAGGCTAATTGGTTACTCCAAATTGACCATAGGTATGAATGTGAGAGTGAATGGTTGTTTGTCTCTGTGTGCCCTGTAATGGACTGGCGACCTGTCCAGGGTGTACCCCGCCTCTCGCCCGAAAGGATGCTGGGATAGGCTCCAGCCCCCCCGCGACCCTACTAGAGGATAAGCGGTAGAAAATGGATGGATGGACATTGCCTCAATTAGAAAACAGCATGTGGAGGGAGAAATGTAAAAACGATGCCAGACCTGATTCAAGCCCAGAACACAGGTATGATAGATTAGACTAGATACGATAGCTAGAAAGACAGAAAGGGGATACAAGGATCAAAGGTTGGAGGGGTAAACTGAGGGAACAGGCTTACAGTGTATCCTTGCTTTCTTGCTGCTCTCCTTCTTTCCTTCTCTTTTACCACCTTTGTTTGTCTTCCATCTAAAACTCACACTTTTCTTTTCCCTTATTTCCAAATTCCTCTCCTACCATCTTTCCTTATCGCTGTCTTTCTTCTCTCCTTGCACCCTTCTGTCTTTCCTTCCACCTGCAATCCATTACTATAAATTCTTCCCCCTTGCTTTCTTTACTCCCTCCCTTCAATCTTTAATTCCTCTCTTCCTAAGAACTGGTTATTGATCTGCTTCATTAATGTGTGATATTATCTAAATTTTAAAGGAGAGGTATTTCCAACAAAAAGCTTAAAGACACCTCTAACCAAAGTAAGAAAGAAAGAAAGAAAGAAGGGAGGAAAATCTTTATCATTCATAAATAGTTAGCTAGCAGGAACAGTGCAGTCAGCCTTTGGGTTTTTACAACAAGGAACAAAGGTCATTTGCTGTGCTGGCTGCGTCAGGTGTCAGGTGAATAAAATTTCATCTTTGTGCCCGTAGAAGTAAAAAGGTACGTGTCTTCAGTTTCTATTGATGAATATATAAAAGTGACAGATTCATTGAAACGTGTTAACAGTTTTGTCAATCCATTAGATGCACATATATTTGTCAAATAACAACCAGGACTTCAGTTTTTTATTTTCACTGCAGTGCAACATTTTGTCTTAATATCTGTAGAGGGAAACATTTAAAAATGGTCATATCATGATGACCATGATTAATAAGATTAAAGTTAATGGTTTGATTAAGGTGTTTACATGGTTCTGTGTAATGTGCCTCCCCAGTATATATGAGGTTTTATACTCAGGTTAGTGTCCAGGCTATGCATGGTAGTCTACTAGGTAAATACAAATATGTGAAGTGAACATGTGTGTAAGAAATGTGAAGGACTTCACTGGTATGTCATTTTCACAAGGCTGTATTTACAGATCACTATTAGTCGAGTTCCACTGCTTCCACTAAAAGCTGTTTCACTTTCAACCACTGCTGGTACACATGCTGCTTTCTATCACAAAGCTGTACTTCAGTTGAACGATCCATTGATCAGCAAATCACCAGAAAATGAATTTGCAACAATTCTGGCAATCAATGATTGGTTTAAGACATTAAACAAACAAGACAAAATGCCAAACATTATCTGGGTTCATATTTTTAAACATGTGGATTTCATTTTTGTAAATGACAGATCTTTGGTTGGCACTGTAAACTGCTGGGTAGACAAAACAAGCATTTTACAGACTAAACTTTTAATAATGATGATAATAATAAGCTATGGAAATAATTGTTCGCTGCAGCAATAAAGGAGAAATGATTAACAGAGAAGGCAGCTGTTTTATCAGGTTATTCTGAGTGCACACGGCTACATAATTTGGGATTAACTGCAACTAACTTGGCACAAAATTTACACACTGAAATCAGACAGAGAGAATCTGTGGTACCTATAAAGCTCAACTCAAAGTGATGAAGGAGGCAAACTCATCATTGCCTATGATTGTAACGCTACAGCAGAGTTGGTGTTAATGAGTGACTGACAGGCTGCCGGTCAAAACGAACCAGCAGAATAAAGCTATGTGATTGTTTTTGGCAGACAAACTTTCTCTTCTCACACATCCCAGGCAAAACAGAGGAGTTTATTTTTTATGTGAAGTATTGGTTACCCAGTGTTTTCTATTTCTTTCTTTTCATGGCAGCATGATGCAAAGGAGGCGGAAACCTCTCCTTCTGCTGTGTTTGACTGCAGCAGTCGCCATGAATATCCTGGGAGATACTGCTGAGGCCGTGGAGGGGGTTGCGCTGGTATGAAAATTTCCATTCTTTAACATTTTTAATTATTGTTTTTTATGTTTATTGTGCTCCAATTGTCTGTATGTGTTACTCAGACTGTTTATCTGTTGTAATTACTGTCCATTCATCCACCAGGAGGTAAAGAACTTGACCAACAAGTCTCTGCAAGTCATTCCTCACAGTGGCAACAGCTCCTCTCTTACTAAACTGATGGTTGAGGGGAACTTTATCACTCTGACTGAGGAGGATGGATTGGCCCTGGCCAGTTATCCTGCACTGGTAGAACTCCACTTGGATGATAACCGGATGACTGATGTACCAGCCAAGTACTTCTCAGTGGTGCCACGCCTCAGAGTGCTGTCTCTGTCCAGGAACAACATCAGCGGGTGAATAAGAAAGCAAATATAAACATCAGCCTTGTGCTACAGTATTTAAATACTGTGTTGATGGCAGTATACAGTATAGTATATAGACAGTGTATAGTGTTTAGACAGCATACTCAAAAATGTCATGATGTATACTAAATTAGCTAGATGTCTGAGAGCAATGTGACTGTCCCATTCACTAAAACTTGAGGTGGTGATGCACCTCAGTACTGTTCCAGACTTGTAGCTTACACACCTAAGAAATTGACACATTACTTACAGTAAATACTACAAGTGATCCTAGAATTGTGGACCTTGTTACAGCCTGGATCCTGAGGCTTTCTCTGGCCTGGATAATCTGACAGATCTGGACCTGTCCCACAACCTGCTGACAAGTCTCCCCACACAGCTGCTCAGAGGGCTAAACAATCTGCAGGTAAAACCCAACTGGTCAACAAGAATCTAGGAAGATATTCTGGTAAATTCCCATGACATGAGCAAGAGTTTCATTCAGTATCATTTAGCTATATAAGATACCGTGACTATATTTACAAAATAAAAGTGAAATGATTACATGTGTCAGTCTTAAAGAAAGCTATTTCAGTGAAGGTACGTCTATTATCATTGAGTCAGGGTTGTTCTCCATTCAAAATAAAAGAAACAACTCATTGTAAACCTTTCCATCAGTAATCTAGCAGTGTTAACCAGGTAATTATAAATCTATAATTAATCTATATTAATCCTATCTGGTCCTATCAGGTGCTGAATCTCCAGGAAAACCCCTGGAATTGTTCCTGTCCACTGCTGAGCAGCATTAGAGAGGTCACGGCGGGAAATGTTAGCATTGGTAATAATTCAATAATTATTTGAAGTTACACTGGCAAGTAAAAAGAAGTGAACCTTTTAAAATTACATCCATTTATGTGTAAATTTATCTCTTCAAACAAAGAAAATCCATCTTCTGGAGTGGTCCGATCAGAGCCCAGACCTTAACCCAGTAAAGATACTGCTGAAGAGAGACACTCACACCAGATTATCCTCAGAATATGTCTGAGCTGAAGCAGCTCTGTAGGAAGAATGCTTCAAAGTTCCTCCTGAACATTGTGCAGCTCTGATCAGCAGCTAATGGAAGAGGTGGTTTGAGGTTATTGGTACAAAAGGAGGTTCCACGAGATATTAAATCCAAAGGTTTACTTACTTTTCTCACCAACACTGTGAATGTTTAATGTTTGTCCACATTTGCGATTTAAATCAAGATCAGATCACATTTTATGACCAACCAATGCAGAAAACAGATGATTCCAAAGTCCAAAGTTTTTCTTGTCACTGTAAGTAATATATTGACTTGTGACTGACATATCCAGCCTGGTCTGGAATTGTAATCTTACCTACTTTAGGGCTTAATATTTATCTATGGGTGTAAACATAAACTTATTCAAAGACAACTGAGACCAGTATTTAAAAGCCATAGGCTTTCTCTACAACAAATGTCTTTGAAACTATCTGTGGTGATGTTGACAACACTGAAAGACGGGACATTTAACCTACTCAACTGAGTGACTGCTCGTTAATTAAATTACTTCTGTATGTGATGTCTGTCTCAACAGGGGGACCACGAGCCACCTGTGCTTCTCCAGAAAATCAGGCCGGACATGATCTTTTAGAGGCTGCAGCTGTATGTTACCCAGCACCATCACCCACCTTCGCTACAGACACACAAAAACCAAAAACACACACAACAGTCAACTCTCAACAGTCCTGGGGTTCATCCACTGTGCTGAAGACCACACAGTCATCAAGCAAGAACATCACCATAAACAGGGGTAAGACTAAGAGAGATAAAGGTATTTTACCCATTTTCTCATTCTTCAACTGTTCTTCTATTAAATATGTGGATTAACAAATAGAACGCAACCATCTCAACAGAATGGTCTCTCCTCTCTATCTCCCCCCTCCAATCCCAACCAGGCCAGACCCCTGTGTTCGGCAACACGTGGAAGTTCACAGCATGTGTTGCAGCCTTGGCTCTAATAACCTCCATGCTCATTGTATGTGCCATCAAGGGGCCTTCCTTGTACAAGCTCTTCCACAACTACCAGCACCGGCGGCTAGACCAAGAGGAGGATGAGGAGGAAGACGTTGTGTCAACGGTCTTCTCAGGGACAGGAAGATACGTCAACCATCAGACATTCACCTTCGAGCAAGGGAACGCACAGATAGAGATAGAGGAGGAAGAGGAAGATGGGTATTTTGAGGATCCATACATCAAGAGGGACGAATGACATGCAGGAGAACCGTGACAAATCACACAGCTGCTTCGGTCACAAGAAGAGGAGGCAATTACCTCCTGTCACTTGTGTCACACCTAAATACTCTGTGTTTAATTGGGGGCTGTTAAATTGTACATATTTATTTTTTTTAGCACTGCTAAATACTATCAATCTAAGAGTTAAGAAAAGGGTTCTCTTAGCTCTATGCTCTCACTGTGAGTTTGTTGTAGTGTTGGTACTGATCTTATGTTCCTCTATAGCATCACATCATTGCCACAAATATGAAGTAAAAACTTGACTGTAACATGATCTCTTGCTCTTGCTCACCTAAGAAACTAACATATCAAACCTTATATATCAGGCCCACTAAACATCAGAGAGGTGTGTATTTATTCTGCTCCCCATTCCACTGTTCCACACCCTGGTGTTATGCAGACAGGTCTTCTACAAAATGTGGTTGTATAGTGGAAAAAAACAAACCATGCCTCTGTGCACGAGATTGCATTTTTCATATATGTAAATATTTAGAATAAAACACTGACAGACACAGAAAGATGTAGAATCAAATCATTCAAATCTGAATCTGAGACTCTGGCAAATTACTTCAGATGTGTTACTGCAGTCATAAACCTCTGCACAAGGGATCTCATGCAACGTGTGTTTGAGAGATCACACAATAATCAACATAAATAAACTTTCACTAGATACTTACTCCCTCCTCTCAGTGAAGACGCTGTCAATGCTTTCAGCCTCGCTGTCATTCTGGGCTTTCACCTGGGAGGGAAGAGAAGAACGAATCACTTCTGACTTCCTGGGTTTAAAGCAGGACATGACAAAATTACCATATTATGTACATAGTAGCAATCCACAAATCGGACAGGCCAGGTCATAAAATTAACACTGTGATTAACAGCAAATGGGTAGCGGGTGGATGAGATAATATATGATGTATGAGGAAAACATTACATTGTCTAAAAGGTTAACATATTTTAAGCTTAATTTTTCTGTGATTGGATTTCTGAACTTACTGATTAATTATTTATTCTGGGCTGTAACAAAAACTTATTATGAGCTTTTTAATTGTTTGTGTTCAGGAAGTAGCCGTGACATTCAGAATTTTAATGTCAGACTGTGGTCAGGCTATTGTGGAAATACCTGCTGCCATTTTCATTTTACCAAAAAAGGACAACTTTTGCTTTAAATAAATGTTTGTTAATTTAAAACCAGCATTCTTATGTTACCATATCATCACACATAATATTCCCCTGAGAAATAATGGTGATGTGTGATTGAGTGTGGGTCTCTAAATCATGGTGGTGGATGATTTATGCATACATGTGGATTAGGATGACATCAGAGTCAATCACTATTACATAGTGTACTTACAATGTTGTAGTCATTTATCATTTCCTCCATCTCTGTGTTGGTGTTGAGCTTGTCCACCAGCTGGAAATACAAATAAAGAATAAAAAAAAATTAAGATACTTCTCAACCATCAAACATTACCATCATATCACTAGTGAGCTGTGGCATTTCCTTCAGTGCCTGTACTTTGTTCCAGTTAATCAAATGGTGTTTACATACTTAAATTTAGTCTTACAATTGCTTGTTTGTAGTGTTGAGGTTGTAGGAGCTAAGATTTAAAGCGGTGGCTCACTGAAAATAACTACAGACAAGGGCTAAAACTTTTAGTTTACAGCTGCTTACCATATTGTGGTCAGCAAGCTGGCCTTGCAAATCCTTAATCTCTGCAGCCAGGCCTTCAGCTCTGAAAATAAAAGATAAAAATGAAGGGTTGGTCGTTTGGAGATTTTTTTTTCATGCTGTTATTAAATCATAAAATGTACAGTGTCAAGACAAACTAGTTAAAATACCACTCACTTCTTCTCATAGGAGAGGTAGACAGAGTTCTCCTGGTTGTAGTTGTCAATCTCTTTGTGCAGTTTGCTGGTCTCTGTGGTCAACTCAGTGATCTTACTCCTGTAGCAAAACAACAGTAATATTCACTTTTACATGGTTTAATTGATCATTATGTACCAACAGGAAGAGATGGTTGCTCTGCTGGAAACACCTGCTACATAGTGTAAAATAATGCTAATAGGCGCTCTAACTGTAACATAGCCTTTAAGATCAGAAAATGTTAACGTATGCTACTACATTCTGATATTATTGTAACAAAAATCTTTTTATATCACAGTTTTACAACCTAGCACTCAGCTCAACTCTATCTTTAACAAACATATATGTATTTTTGAAATATATATGATATTGTTGTGTTAGTTTTCCATATTGCAATTTTATTATTTTTATTTCTGTCTGTCATGAAGCAGGAATCCCTCCTCTGCTGCTCCTCTTTATTCCTGTTAAAAGTTTTTTTTGAGCGGAGATTTTATTTATCTGAAGTGGGGGGTCTGAGGACAGAGGGTGTCATGTGCTGCACAGATTGTGAAGCAAAGTTGTGATTTTGGGCAACATAAATTAAATGGACTTGGCTTGGTTACAGTAAAACACTATCGTACCACCTGTTTGTATTTTAATGAACTTAGCTCTGAAAACCCAGATAAGAAAACACCAAAGTCCACAAAACAGTGTGTGCATTTCCTGCCGCCATAACTTAATCTGTGAGTAAAAATATAATTGATGGCAGATAGTTTGTGTTACCTGAGAAGGCCCAAGTAGTAGGACTTATCCAGAATTTGTCTTTGAGGTCCTGGAGATGGAAGAAGGAAAGGGTTTGTGGAGTGAAAGATTAAATACAAATCTCTCCATGTGAAGAGTACACTGCTATCACTTCAAATCTACCTTTCATGCCAGTCTTCATCCCACTGAGCCCCTGTTGGGTGACAGGCCGGTCAGTCACTTTGATCTGTGCTGACAGGACTCCAGGAGTGGCAACTGGGATCCCGCCCCTCATACCAGGATGACCACTTGTACCTGGAACCATCTGTATTAAAAATGAAAGAACATAACTCCATAACACTGGGTTTCTACTCTAGTTACTATCACTGCAACACATAGGGTCAGTATCATACACTGATTGTGTAATGAAGTGCTGCCATGGTAATCCTGTGATAACTGTGCACAGATCATAAATGCTAACACAAATTCCTCCACCTTGCACTAAAAAGAAGTTTGACTGAGAGCTTAAATCGGTGACACGTAAACAAAAGTTACCCGAATGTGAAAAAACTGAAAAAGCTGAAAAGTCCTAAATGAAGTGTTTTCTTTTTTTGAAGTTGAACTTTTCAAAAAGCACTAAGTCAGTCAGTTATGAGAGAGGAGTCACTGGGTTTCATGTCAGATCACACAATGAAAAACATGGAGAAAGTGAAGCAAAGGGCCATGTAATCGCCGTATGCTGTGAAATTATCAGGTATTTGTAGCAGGCTAAGGAGCGAGGACTGAAGTAGAAATGAAAGAAAAAGAAAAATGAGAGAAAAGACACTACATTAAGCACTCCTTTGTAGAAACAAGGCTTTTAACAGGTACTCTTTTCCCCCAGAAAAAAGCTCCTTGCGGTGCCTTTCCCACACAAAAAAATCTGTGAAAGCACAAATTCAGATTATTAAGTCTTGCAGTTCAAAAACTTAAACTATTATAATGAGTTTGGAAACAATGTCTTTAAAAGTTAAATTAAGTTGAGGCAAATTCACTTTCAGAAAACTCAGTTATTCGAAAAGATGAAGTTATTGTGATTTAGATTCACCTTCTAAGACACTGCCTGTCGACAAGCACAGGTTCCACTGTGGTTGTTCTTGCACCTGTTTGCCAAAGCGTGTCAACATTGGATTTAAAAATGGTAATCAGAGGTGGGGTACTCAGAGTTTATTTTTGGCCTTTTGGATTAGTTGATATGCTGCTCTGACTTCAGCAATAAATAATATGGTATAATATAAGGTATATACTCATGGAAAGAGCACTTGCATCTTAAATCTAAAATAAATCCACACTGCAGTTGACTCACCCCAGTTGCGACACGTATGGCTGTAGGAGGAGGTCGGATGGCTGTTGGGGGTCTTCCAGCACCAGGGACCACAGATCCACTACGGCTCATTGGACGGCCTATGCTTGAGGGAGGCCGCTGACTTGCCATGATGCCTAAAACATGGTAACAATATTGACATATTAACAGTAACTGCTGCTGGATGGAAATTAATTCATACTACTCATCAACCCACTGATGAGTGCTTATTAGTTTGTCTGCATGGTGACAACACTGTGGTGGACAGTGAAGCTTCATTGTGACTGGAAGTTTGCTGGTTAGAAACCTGAAGCACAACATTTAAAACAGTGGTACCACGCCTTCGTCCAAGCCCCACTGTATATATTCCATCCCTCCCCCTACTCTGCCCACCTGAACAGTTTTTAATTGGCTGAACACACCTGAACCAGCTGCGCCTAGGGGCGATAGAGTCGTACAAGTTTGTGAGGCACAATCAGTCACGCAACAATTACTTGCAGCCCTGATGTCAAGTCGGAGAACTTATGAGACATCTAACTTATGAGAACTTCAGAGACCTCCATCACGGGGTGCAGTATTTGAGTGTGGAAAACATTGTTTTCTTGTTAATCGAGGATATATGCTGTTTCCTACTAGCTTAAAACGCTAATTGTGACAACAACAGTTTCAAATATCAAGAAAATGTTTACCATATGAGTAGCATCAGCTAGCAAAATGTTTGTTAGTTCGGTGGTGTATTAACTTTGCTCCCAACAGCCTAAGTATTGGCTATGCAGCGTTACGTTACAACAAAGTTGACGTTATCTGTAAGACACATTGTAACGTTAACTAAATAAACTAGACCGTTGTTTTGAAAATGTTGTTTTGTAATGTTTGATAGCTATCTAGCTTAGTTTACCATATGCCATCACCATTAGCAAATGCTAAGACAACTTTAGCATTAACGTTAGCTGACTGCCACGGTGTAACGTGGATAAGCTAGCAAGCGTTGCTTATCTTTAAACTGAACTCCTTCACGGTTGTTTTCGTCGGCAGTATAAACCTTTACATTTTCCAACCGAAGCGGCTGTTTAGTTAATTTACCTGAGAGGAAACTGACAACTAGCGTGAACACGGTAACAACAGCTAAAAGAAAGTCAGAAGCTTGGGATGATGATGTTGACGGTAACCCAGTAACCGTCTTCTTCTCCTGACATTAGGCAGCGGAGAGTGTACTTCTGCCCCCTAACGTTCAACAGGGGATGTTACATGCTGACCAAAGACCAGTTTATAGGTAAGTTAAATATTCTGCTGAGGCTTTCTCACTATTTTCTTTGAGTTGATTTGCAATGTAAAGCATTTGTTTGATTTATTGTTGTATCCAGAATTAAGAAGGAAAGAAGTAACTATGAAATAGATTGTAACTTAACTTTCTTAAGAATAATGTGGGGAATGTATATGTATATGTATGTATATGTAATAGTGTGGACTGTGGACCCAAACCAGTCGCCATAGGGGAAAGGGTCCTTGAATATGTGAAATTAAGGTATCTTTTATTTCTAAGCCAGTTTGCACTTTAATTCCAAAGTTAGTTTGATGAGGTGCACACCAACTTTTTTTTCTAATCCAGTGAGTTTTAAAATGCTGGACACACAAGGGCATAGGTTTGGTCTTAACATTGGTAACAACCCCGCCAACCCTCCAAAACAAAGAGATTGGCTCTTTAATGCTCTTTAATAACCAAACGGTTTATTAACATATAAGATCTGAATTGACATTCAGGAATGCCCATACACAAATGTAACATATGTACATGTGTTGAATTTCTTTATATGAAATAAAGTATCTATCTATCTATCTATCTATCTATCTATCTATCTATCTATCTATCTATCTATCTATATGTACATATGAAGTAAAATCATATGTATTTAAAGTATAACCTATATATGTAAAAATTGCATATGAAATCTGAAATTGGAACAATATCATATATTGACATATATATATCTAACTAATAGAAACATATATTTTAGTATGTCTGTTTATATTATAGACATATGTTACATAAATATATATCCATCCCAAAGCTTGTCAGTATATATTCATTATTCCAATTAACCTAATGTGCAGGTCTTTGGACTGTAAGAAAAGATATAAAGAGAGGGGGAGGTAATTAGGACGTGGAAAAAATTAGCATTAAAGGAAGCAAAGGAATAAAGTAATCAAAGCAATGTTACAAAATCACAGACGCAGGATATCCGGGGGACGGAGCCGGAGCACAAGGAAGGACACCACTCAGCGTCACAGACAGAGAACGCTTTAAGCAACGCTGAATTCATGCTAAAGCAAAGGCAACCCAGAAACGCTGTTTGAGTTGAGTTGTGCCGGACTGGAACATCCAGGAAATCTGGAGAGGTAGCCAGTAAGCATGACTGCAAGCATGGACTCACGGATTCAGAGACTGGTGGAGAGTGCGATCTGGCGAGGACACTGACACTTCTGTGCCAGGTAGAGTCTTGATTCTGGTGTCTTGGCTCAGTCCTGCTTACCTGCTGCGCCAGGTAGTGTCAGCCTCATGCATGGTCGGCTTGTTAGATTGAAACGTCCAGGGTCGATTATTATAATTATTATTTTCAAGTTGATGTTGAAAACATAGGTTGAGATGACTTAAAAATCACTTCGGTTAATTCTTTTTTTTAGTCTGGAAAAATGGAGAAATAATTAATATTAAAACGTTTAATACAATTAAAAGAGTTGTATTAATGTATACATTTTCTCTTTTTCTGATTTTATTTTTAAGATTTTTCAGCTAATGATAATTAATGACCAGAGATACTGCTGAATCTTCCAAAGTAAAAGGAAAAAAAAAAGGAAAACGGTGTTATCACTGAGTAAAATCCTGTTAAAACCCAGTTGGATGGACCAATCCCTTTCAATTGGGGAAGCTGCATGTTCTTGAGGGTTAACTTGACAGCGAAAAACCGGGTGACCAGGACACTGAAGGACCAGTTTGGGAGCTTTGAAATGGAACAGCAGGAGCAATAACCTGGAGTCAAGTCAAGATAAGACCATAAATCATTTAAAGTCATCTTGTGAATAACCTGCAGATTGGAAGTAAATATGGCAGAGCAAGCTATTGGGAAATCAGTTGAGCAACTGAAGGCAGAGAAAACATATGCAAAAAGATTATTCCCTTGTCTGGTCAACAGTATTACCAGGAACTGCAAAGACATGTCTGAAGAAGAACTCAAAGTTTCATTAAACTCACAATAGAAGCTGAAAAAGTCATGGAAGCTAATGACAATGTTGAGGCTGGATTCATTGCAGAGCTGGAGGTGGAGCTGGACACAGATGAAGTAGCTATGTTAACAGCAAAAAGTCGACCTAGCAAAGTTTTTTAATGAGTGCAAGTTGAAGCTAAAGTAGGTCAAAAGTATAATTCAGGAGACTCTCTGGGTTAACCTTGGAAGTGTTGAGTTGTCCACAGCACTACAGGCAGCAGAAGCTCAGTCTGAACATGTTGCTGCTGTGCAACCTAATGGAAACCAGGAGGCATATGACTTCATGCTCAATTACTTGCAAGGCCTAGTAAAGACTGCAAAGGAGGTGCATGGTCAGTGGAAATGATGAGCCTTATCAGGTGACCAGACAAACCTTTAGACTCACATACAAAAGCTCAAACTTTATGTTCCCAAGCTCGTTTCTTGAAAGGCTGATTTCATACAATCAAGGATAAAGCAGGACGCTGAAAAAGAAACATTGTCTGTGATTACCTCCAACTATCCCATACCAACCATCAAGTTGAAGCCCACAGCCCTTCACAAGTTTACTGGCAAAAAAATTTCACGGGTGGAAGGAGGACAGGGAAGCACTCTAGAGGCAGGGGTAACCAACCGGTTCAAGAGAGGTGAAAAAGGTGCAATTGGATAGTCTTGGTGACAAAGTCACAAGAGACCTTCGCCTCACTGCTTATGACCTAGAGAACTGCTACAGCAACTGCTAAGGCAATCAAACATCCATTGCTATTGAAATGATGGAGGAGTTACAGAAAATGCCCGCTGTCAGAAGTCTACCAAATCAGGCAGTGGCCATGCAGGATGTTTAATCTGTGGGGGTGGGAAGCACAAGAAGAAGCTTCACTTTTGCAAGCAGTTTTGGACACTAAAGCTAGCAGACAAAAAGGCTGCACTAAGAAAGCTTGGGGCATGTAAGAGGTGTCTTGAAGTTCATGAAGACAGTTCATACTGCAAACCTGGCTATTTAAAAACCAAGACTGCAAGGATGAGTATTCATCAGAGCATCATTACTATCTGTGTCCTAATGCTGAGCTTAAGAAAATCAGTGCAAGTCAGAAAAAATGTAGATCTGGTCCAGAGGAAGACAAAAGTAAGAAGAAATATACAGAGGATCAAGAGGAGTTCATCAGTAAACTTTCACCAGAGTTGGCAAAAGAATGTTGAGATGTATTTTCAAACGTTGCATCCAGAGCCTTCAGCACTGTGAAAGAGCAGGCAGGTCGATGGAAAGTAGATTACAAGAGCTGCCAGTGGTTATGCTTCTATAGGTCAAAGCTATTGCTGAGCAAAAAGTTGGGGCATTAATTGCTTTGGCTTCAGACACTAATTACATAACCCCCAAGGCTGCAAAAAGACTGAGGTAAAGGAATAACTCTCATCGTCCATGGAATTGGTTGGGGGTGAAGGTTCACGTGGAGACAAAGCGGTTCCTTCTAAAGATCTGAATAAACACTCCCAAGGGCACTCTCAAATCACACCAATTGGTTTGTTATGGACTAGACAGCATCGCAGATGTCCACAAACATGTGACTGTTGCTTGAACTCAGCCCAAGCTCTTTGAGGAGCTTACTATGTCAGCCCACATATCGTTAGCCTCATAGCATAATTGCCTAAGTCATATTTTGGCCAAATTGAGATGTCTGCCTAACTCTACTCTCCTAAAAATGCTGAGTCACTGTGTCTTACTGGCTATATCCACGGCCAATCAGAGTGCTTGTTACACTGCATAATCACTATCTGCCTAAGTCATCAATTTCACTTAGGCATTTTTGACGCTAAATACAAGATGGCGGCCCCCGGGAAAAAGAGGGCTAAGATGACTGCATTTGAAGCATTGGCTCTTTTCTTTGACTCATCTGGTAAGTTAGTTCATATTTCTTCAACTTTTTATACAGTAAATGTACTTTCAGTCGATCATAGGACTTATGTAATGTGTGTTTAAACTTTTAATCATGTTTCTGCAACACAGTATTTTGATGTGGTGTTGCTAATGTAAATAGCTAATCTGCTAAATCCTTTCATTTAACAGGTTTTGCTAATGTATCTGTTCATTTAACATGGTTTATTGTGTTAAAACACTCAGCAGCACTGTCTTTTCTTTTGCTTCATGGTCAGGAAATGAACTTGATATTTCTTGAACTTACTGATATTTGCTATTTGACATTTGAATGATAAACTTGATGATATTCCTTCAGCCTTCTATACAGTAAATGTACTTTCAATCGATCATAGAAATTATGGACTGTGTTTAAACTTTTTACTGTGTTAAAAGACTCAGCACTTTCTTTTCTTCTGCTTCAGGGTCAGGAAAAAACTTGATGACACTGATTTTGAGAAGGACTATAGACCTGAGAAAGAAGGCCAGTCAGGAAGTGACTAAGACACCGGGCAACATATTGAAGAAGAAACGGCAGTTAAAGACTCCAGCACAGCTCTTGATTCATGGTCAGAAAGTGAACATGATGACTCTTGCTTGGATACAGACAATAGACCAGAGAAAGATGACTGCCCAGAAAGTGATAGTGATACAGACTCACCTCAACACAGTGAGGAAGAAACAGGAGAGGAGGTAGGAGGTGAGAGGAGAGAAGAAACAGGGGCTGCACTTGAAGCTGCAGTTGTGAAACATCATAAGTGTCCAAGGCCACACATGTGGAAGCGCCAGGTGATAAAAGAGAAGCGCCTTAAGGGGGAAAGTTTGAAGAATGCAATGGGACAGGAGAGACAGCCAAAGACCATGGGCCCACCCTGCACATAACAGTACTGCTTAAGGTCAAAGAAAGGAAGTTGTGAACTACTCAGTAATGAGGGGAGAACAGATATCTTCAACAGTTTTTGGTCCATGCCGTCCTGGGAGACACTCAAG